AGTCACTACTATACTCGAACTCGACAATTTTGTCTGAAAACCACTTGTTACAAATCCTAACCTAAAAAATGTTACTCGTACTGTTAAGATAAGATTGGCATACTTTATAATATCAACAGTGCTTTAGGATGCCTTGTCGCAAACAAGGGCCAGATGAGCCTAGGCTTGATACAGCTACTTTCTACGAGATTTCAATATCAAAGTGACGAGGTCGCTGTGACACATTTTTACTAGCTGGGGGTGTGATATTTTAAAGCAAATGACGGCAATAGCCAAATTACGGAGGCGCCGGTCTGGTTTATGATTGACACATTACTCTGCTGCAATAAGCAGTTAAAGTTTAAATTTCTGGCTTCTATATCATCATATAGAACTTGAGGATTTGCCACAGTGAAACTGTTCAATATGATAAAACATATACAACCTCAACTACTAGGCTTCGGAAGTGGCTGGAAAGAGTAGAAATTGGACAAATAGACACATGCCAGGGGAGTTGGTAACTAAAGGTGAACAGAGTTCTGGAGCGGCTAGCTGTACTCCTTCACCAACTCCCCCGGTATGTTGTCCGTCTATGCTGGCCAATTTCTACTCTTTTCAGGCACTTCTGAAGCCTGGTAGAGGCTACAGGTTTCTAGCGGGGCAGCGGAAATACAGAGCGGCAGTTTCTTTTCAGTGGGAAGGCCTTGTTCGGGGGAAAACTATCATCGGAGAGAGCTGAGCTAGCTACCCTAAAAGTCCGCGCAGGAGGCTATCAGAACGCTACTATTCTCTTCTTGCTAGATTTTTAGGAGGTTAATAGATACAAAGTGAAACTCAACAGTCTCAGAGCATGGAGGTAGAACCATGCTCAGAGTTATGTTTGGAAAAGTGACTAGCGCTGCCACACGTACGACCAGAAACCTCCTGACTCTGAAAACCTTCCCTTCCTCGCCACAAGATGGGATACGGGATCCTGGAAACCAATCGGCGGTGTGTTCCGCTGGGACGAGGGTTTGCCCAAACATTTGGCTTCCCCCACTCGCGCGCGTCCTCGCATTGTCACGCTTGGGCTGCGGTCCACCAGCATCTCAGGCACTCATCGGTCCAAGCAGATACTGGGAAGAGAATGCCCTTTTTTCGTAAGGCGTATTAATCAGGCCTTTTTAGTCTTCGTAATCCGCAGGCAGCCTCCCCACAAAATCAACGCAATTCGTAATAGTACATTAATAGCCGCAAAGCGTAAAGTCGTCATCAGTACTGAGACTTTTAACGTAATCGGCGGCAAAAATTTTGCGTAATTCGTAATCACTACCACCACCCCCCCATGCATGCCCTCGAGAATGTGTTGGGTTTTAAGACTGTTCTGTTTTATCAGAAAAACGGGACGTTTCAAAAGAAAAAAAAAAGGATCCGCTGAAAACATATGGTAGGATACTATCTCTGACCTGTGTTTGCTCTGGACCGGATTGTCTTGCAGTTATTTTCTGAGAAAATGGGGTAACAAATCGTGAGTTCGACTCACGACTCACGATCTTTTCGGCCATTTGTTCGCGGTTTCTAACAGTATGGACCAGACGTATGGTCTGTACTATGTATACAAAACTTGGTGCATCCGGACGTTTTCACCCCTATTTTGTTTGTTTGTTTGTTTGTTTGTTTGTTTGTTTCTGTCTTTTTTTGGTTTGGTATTTACTTGTATATATATAAAATCAGAGAGCTTTATATGACAGGTTCTACGATATAACTTCAGAGTACTCTCCACGCAGAGGTTTGGGTTTGGGGTTATTTTTTTAGTTATATTTTATATTTTTTCACCCAACCCAACGTGAAAAAAAATTCCAGTGCAAAAGAGAAACCCCGATAAAAGGCCTAAAGCACGCTAAAAATAACACCAAACCCAAACTTCTGCTTCGAGAGTAACTTCAGAAGACGTTTATACTGGCGACTGGCGGTGGCCAATGTGGCCCGGGACACGGGATCTAAAAAAAGAGAGACGCCTTTTCGGAAAGTCCGGACCGGTTCCGGTCGTTACAACAAGGACTACTTCGGTTTTGTAGTTTTACAGACTCAGGATAAGGATGTTATAGGTGTAAGATTTCTCACGGTCTTCTCCCATTCTAGACGCCTTTATTATTATAAGGCCACACCGATTTGATTTTATGGATGACATCCTCTGAAGAGCCCCAAACTAGTGCGCGCGGGCGGATAAAAAAAAATTCCGTCCAAAAATAAAAATGCTACTAAACCACAGGAATACAAAGCTGGCATTGTAAATTTGCGACAGTACTTAGCGACGTATACGACAAGCCGGCACATGCTGACTTTTTGCGGCATTCATGAATCGGTACTGCGCTCTTATGTACTGAGCTTTTAGTCGTGGAGCGTCGGTAGCCTGGGTGCCCGGCTCCGTATTGTCGCGAACTACCATGGACTACCCAGGCCTAGAGCCAGGCCAGAGCTTCGGTGGACGTGATTTTTTTTTGAGGGCGACAGGCGAAAATCAATGCGCGCGCGGATGTCATCCATAAAATTAAGGCGGTGTGGCCTAATTTTAAAATCAAGGGCTGAAACATACGAAATACGAGTTGAAAATCATATCTTTATAGTTTGTCTCCTACATTAACTACTCGTAAAAAATGTGAAATTACAATAGTGTTTTTATAAACGCGTCTAAAACTATGTAAAATTCGACATATTTTCGTAAAGAGATGCACGTTACTTCAACCTCAAGTTCGTTTCACTTTTTCTGACGCTCAAGAGGAGCATTCCGCGGTCAAATATTTTCTTGTATTTTTGTAGTTTTCTTCCTTTCTATTTTATCACGATGTTTGTAGGGAGGATGGCCTGTCGGCTACGCTAGAATTGGAGGTCGTAGAGTCGCTAATCGGCCGTGGGAGGACACCGCGAGCCCGTCCCGCCCGCCACACACACGCGAGCCCCGCCAGCCCAGCGCCGCGGCGCGCGCTACAACCGGAACCGACAACAAAAGGAGAATCACTTTACACCCCGGCATGGACAGTCGCGATGCGCTCGGATGGCTTCAGGATGGGAAGGGGAGGGACAGTCTCGCAAATGGGACGTCTGTCTTGCTACTTGTGTTACTTTCTAGCCTCTATCAGGCTTCATTCTGGTCTCTATCAGATAGCCTCTAACAGTCTTCAGAAGCGGATGAGAAAAGAGAAAAAATTGGCCAACTTGTCAGTTAACACGCCAGGGACTTGGTCCGCTAAAGGAGTGCGTGTTTTTTGTTTTTCGGGAAAGGCAAACTGTACGCTTTAGCGAACCAACTCCACTGGTACTATAGTATGTTATCGTCTATTTGGCCTCTTTCTGGCCTCCTCAGAAGCCTGGCAGAGGCTATCACCCTCTAAAACCTAATGAAAAAGCCTGCATTATGAATGTCAAAGATATTGATTATTTTAGTGTTAATAGTACTTTTTTTTGTCCATGTTTTCAGGAGAGGGTCACATATACGTTGATAGAATTCGAATTTGCTTCTAGCTGACGGTACTATGGAAATGGAAAGTGAAAGTTTTTCACAGAGAAAGTTGCCCAGACAAAAGCGGAAGCAAGCCAATCGACATTCACCCATTCTCAAAAATGGTGTATAAGGCCACACCAAGTAAATTTTATGGATGACGTCCTTTAGAGACCCTATATCTAATGCGAGAGGGCGAAAAAAACACAAGAAGGGCCCTACAAAACAAGATGCCTAGATTAGAAATATACTAAGAGACAACAAATCGTACGGTTAGGACAGAAATTGATTTAGGTGACACAGATTAACAAGCAAGAAAGCAATACATCAGGTGGAACAGCAGTTGTTGTCCTGTCCTGTTTCTTTCATTACATTTTTGCAGGCCTGCAGAAACAAAGCATGTGCTCTTTCATTTCGCGTTACGGGTTTCAAGTCAATCTAACGATTTGCGGCACTATCGTGACGCTTTGGCCATAGTTACAGGAAGCGGAATTTCTTGTTTTTTATTCTAGGAACAGGCCAAAATCAATGCGCGCGCGGACGTCATCCATAAAATTTACTTGGTGTGGCCTAAAAATGAAAAAAAAAAGGATCGACACCGACAAACAAGACTATCGGCAATCATACACAGCTCATAGACAGCTATGAATATGACAAGAACATTTTTTTTTCAAACGACACGGTCATGAGAAACTGGTAGCCTCTACCAGGCTTCAGGGGCGACTGGAAAGAGTAAAAATAGGCCAAGTAGATAGATGACATGCAACAGTTTGCCTCTTTCTGCTCTTTCCAGGCGATGCTATTGTAGATGCTATAGGAAAGCGGCACATACAACTCACCCTAGAACGGCTTTTACTACAACACATACGTCCTAATACACATCCGTAGCCATATAGCACATGTGTTTTGAAGGACATGAAAATGAGAAGGTAACACGAAGTAAAAAGCCTCATAACACCATGTACACCGAATGACAATCGTAACGCGCATTAGATAAAAGACAGCTAACTTTTCGTAACCCTCGGTCCTCTACGCGCAATATTTGTTCTGCGTTTGGAAGTCTGTGTGGACAAGAACGATAAATTTGGAAAGCGTGGGCTCCATGTCTACGGCATAACACATGTAGCTCACAATTCCTGTACATAAAGTGTAATAAGCATGTTTTGGAGACTACAGTTCTGAACACGTATGCAATTTGTTGCTAGCATGTGAGCACATGTACATGTAACATTCTACGCTATCATAGGGGGCGGTCGGTTTATGGGATATGTTTAACGTTAGTCTCTGCAAAGTCAGCACTTTCGGGTCAAAATCATGCAAGTTCGCAGCGTGACAGGTACAGCCAAAGTCTCGTTTATTTGATACGGTACTGGACGTTTGTGAAGACAGACGTTAAAACTGAAACTCCGACTATCCTACACAGGAAATACTGCAGTTGTACATCACAAGCAAATCCGCGAGTGCGGCAGAAATGCAACACCAATGTTTGTATATCGAACAAAATTAAAGTTTTCTCCAAGAAAAAAAGTTTGAGTAGACTAACCCTGAGAGCAGGACGGTGTGTCCATCTGACGGCTGATGTACGTGGGGCTGGGGAACAGCTGGGCGGACTGGCTCGACACTGCCGCCGAACAACCGTGGCTGGGCGACCCGGCGGGGAAGGCACCGTACCCTCCCAGGGACGTTCCTCGGGGGCTGGTGGAGAGGTGTACCGAGAAGGCGCTGGTGTAGCCACGGTCCTCCTCGTGCGCCCAGGCCGGTTCCTGCTTGATGCCCGGCGGCATGAAGGACGGGTAGGAGCCGGTCCCGCTGGGGTAACCGAGCTGGGGGAAGTCGAGCATCGGCGGCCAGGTGGGGGCCGTCCCGCCTTGCGGGCTCTGGCGGGGCGGTAAGTAAGCGGCGACGTCGCTGGCCATCACGAGAGAGTTCTTCACACGAAAGTGACCCAACAACTACCTGTAACCGGCTGGCAACGTGACGAGTCTTTACGCCGGGGTGGCGAATTTCACGCGTCGGCGATAAGCGTCGTTAGCCACCGACTAGCCTCTGATCGTGACCGCGGTCTGAGATCGCCCTGCACGAGCCGTGACAGGATCGGTGTGACACGGGAGGCGGACAGGGGAACACTGGCTCCTCAGCCTGCCACGCAAGGAGTTCAGCACGAGTCCCCAGGGGACAGGGGCTAGAGGTTACGTAGGCTGTTTCGCAGCGGCCCAGCAACAATAAATTCTCTTTGATGACGCTATAGAATGTCGGCTTGCTCCCTCATCACACTAGGGTGAAAGTTGTTTATAAGTGGCCCTCACAAATTACATAGGAAATAAATGAAAGAATTTAGACAAATCAGCTTGATATGCGTCCTTTGGTAAAATAGTTCAACTACTCAAGTAACCAGGGGCATAAATAACAAGTGTGTTTCCATTGGTTGAGCTGTAACTTCGACTCAGACGTTTTGGCAGGGCAAATAATATCGGATATCAGTCACGACTTACCAACACCAGGAATACGTCGTCGCAAATTTCTGCAGACCGGCTACTGTTATTTCTGGTTTCAGAAGCAATGACAAGTTCTAGTGCCCAGCAAAAAAGTGGAACCTGTTCGACTCACCGAAGGTTATTGAAAGAACATCTATTTCTCCTTGTTGGGTCAATTTTCACTTGATTGTGATATATATAAGAAAATATGTGTATAAGAAAACGACACATTTTATATTTCTTAAAAAGTCCCGATGAGAAAACCAAAACACTTCAACATCCAGCCCCCCCCCCCACACACACACTGACACCTTGTACCGTCGACAGTCATAAACCTACACAGAAATTTATTTCGCGGATTTAGAGTAAATTCTAGGCTTTATACCAGTATCTACGGTACTTTATCCTGGGTTCCAGACCCATAGCACTATGTGTGCTATGGGTCTGGAACCCAGCTGGCTACGGTACTTCAGAGGCGACTGGAAAGAGTAGTGGTAAGTTAGCGGACCAACTCCACTGCCATGCTATCTATTTCAGTATTTGACCAATTTCTACTCTTCCCAGTCGCCTCTGAAGCCTGGTAGAGGCTTGCTTATAATCTCCAAGCAGAGCATACGGTGGCAAGGTTATTGGCCAGGGGAGTGTCCATTGCATTGACATGCATACTGCCTTGCCACCGTATGATCTGCTTGGAGATAACTGCCTTTATAATGTATGAACCCCTGACCACAGCCCACACGTGCATGATGGAGGTTCTGTTGTGGACTTTGGTCTGACATGAAGATGAGATGGTGTGGAGAAGGAATGCGTGCCCATCGGACCGGGACGGGACCTGTCAGTCATGCCTGTCTGCCGGGTCCGACACACTGACACCTGGGACATGGGATTAGCCTCCACCAGGCCTTTGTACGGGCATACGGATCGTAGAATTCGGCAAAAAAAGGAAGCAAAATTGGCCAGGGGAGTCAAGCCGCGGGGAGGTAGTTTTTTTCCCTCCGAAGCGGCCAGTCAAACTTACAAAGCGGCCAAACTCTAGCCTACATAGCATACCAAAAACTGGGGGTCTTCAGGGTCTTTGGGAGCTTTTATGTGCTATTTTCTGATTGCATATAGACAACATAGCCGGATTGGTTGAATTACCCCCGTTTAGAACTGGGCTAATCAGAAAACAGCCGAAGACCACCAAACCCCCAGTTCTATAAGCCTGCTACGGAGGCTAGCCAAACTCCCCCGGCAAAATATCCAGCGTAGTTAATCTGGTAGAGACTAGCAAGGTGGTCTCCAAGCAGAGGATAGTGCTAGCCTTGTTTTGGAGTTTCTAGACGTTTAGTCGGGCTTTTCTAACATGTCGCATTTTCTTTAGATGTACCAAGGACAATTGACAAAATAGCAAGCCAAACAAAATCTCCAAGCAGATGTTGAGGTGGAAAACATTGATTTTGTAGACATCTCTTCTATTAAAAACGCCAATAAGGAGTGACTTGAATGCTGTTTTGATAAAAAAAATAATAAACAAAAAAGGAAATTAAAAAAAAATATTGATTAGGTCAATGATGAATTTGAAAATTCATCATCATTGACTTTTCAATCCTTGACGTAGGAACTACGACTCCGAGGAATCGTTTACATACAGACCGTACTTTATGGCCCTCGCCACCGGAATACAAAGGCTTAGATGTCTTTTGTGTGGTCACAGTCTTTGTGTTTGTCTAGACCAGTCTGGAACTGAAGCTTTTCCGTACTCCTTAGCACTTTGCTCTAAAAGCTTAGCAAACTCTCTCTCCAAGCAGACATTTTAATGCCATTTTCTGGTATCTTCTCTTTCGGGTGGCATGTTGGATACTGTCTTGTCAATGATACTGTCTTGCTAGTCTCCACCAGACTCCTTTGCAGGCTGATTAAATAGTAGGAGTGTACTGTATGCAAAGGAGTCTGGTGAAGACTACAACTGTCTTGCCAAAGTTTGATACTGTGTTGCAGCCACCAAAATATCTGCTTGGATATTATAGCTTTCCTGTGCACTACGGCTTGAAATATACAAATTACTAGTACCTGGCTGGCATTTTTAATATTGGTGTTTTTTTTTTCTCGTGGCGAAAAGTTGTTCCTATTTTGGTAAAATTCTGCAATTTTGTTAGCCCGTGGAATGGTCAGGTGGCACTAGCGCTGGCCAACGATGTCTCCAGCTTACACGGAAGCTCTTTCCCGGGGTTCCATCTCGTCCCCAGGGGGTCACTTACCGGCTCATCGCCTGTCTAAACCTGGCTGCTGAGTGGTTGGTTTGTTTACCGCGGGTTGTGTGTCAGGCACGCGCGCCGCCCCGCCCTCCTGTCCCGCCCCTGGCGACACGCTCTCCCGGGAGGAGGGATCCCCGCTGGGCGCTCGGACGGACGACACATGTTCTACATGCGTGCGTTATGACCCTACGGCCTGTAAAGTTTAATCTCCAAGCAGATCCCTTTTGGTGGCAATACTGAATCTATTAGCCAGAGGAGTTTGTACGGCCACTAATGGACACTCCTCTGGCCAATGGATACTGCCTTGCCACCGTATGATCTGTTTGGATCTCAGCTTGAAGAGTTGTATGTAAAGTATAGCCTCTACCAGGCACCGCGGAGTGGAAAAATAGTAGAAATTGGCCGAAATAAAGGGATAGTATACCAGAGAAGATCCAGGGCCATAGAGCTTGGGCCATAGAGCTTCTATGGACCTGGATCTTCTCTGGTATACTATCCCTTTATTTCGGCCAATTTCTACTATTTTTCCAGCGATCTGTGATGCCTGGTAGAGGCTATGTAAAGTAGTCAATCTTCAAGCAGATGTCTGGCGGCTCCAGACGTTACGGTTAGACCTGCCTGTGTCAGTCTAAATTGTAACTGTCTGACAAACGGATAATAGTACTGCCTGGCCAGTTTGAAACTGTCTTTGCAGTCACTGCACTAAACGATCTTATAAGGATTCAGAAACGGCTGGAAAGAATAGAAATTGGCCAAATAGACAGCTAACATACCAGTGGGGAGCGGTAAACTGCACAGTCTACCACAGTCCTTTTATTATAATAGCGGACCAACTCCCTTGGCATGTTCTCTATATATTCGGTCAGAAGTTTTACTCTTTTCAGCTGCCTGATGGAGGCTAATACTAGTATACACAACACCTTTTCTTCACCTGTTCTACATGTTCTACTCCCGGCATGCATCACGTGTTCAGTAGATGTTTGGTTGCCCAGTGACGTAATCTCCAAGCAGATCTTTCGGTGGCTAAAAAGACAGTCCAGGCAGTGTCCATTTGCCACACCTTGTCTGGGCGGCTGAGGACTCTCTCTAGAAGGCCTGCCTAAGTTCTAACGGTGACGATTTTGCCGCCAGACGTCTGATTTGAGATTGCAGTGACTCATTGGCGACAACGTTGCTTCCTTAGTATTTATATATTAGTTGTGTCTTTTATTTGTGGTCAGATTCGACCTTTAGTAAGTCACTTTTAAATTGAAATTTTGAACAGAATACGCCCGAACACCTCAAAGCATAGCCTCTACCAGGCTTGAGGAGGCGGCTGGAAAGAGTAGAAATCGGCCAAAATAGAGAGATACGCATGCCAAGGGAGTTTGGCCGGTGAGAGAACAGGGCGGCGAACTGTTCTCTCAACGGCCAAACTCCCTTGGCATGCGTATCTCTCTATTTTGGCCGATTTCTACTCTTTCCAGCCGCCTCCTCAAGCCTGGTAGAGGCTACTCAAAGCACACAGAAAAACAGTCAACAATGTGTTGTGTTCCAATCCGTAGATGCGCTGTGCAACATGGGAGATTTACCCCCTAGCGCTATGCATCATGGGAATGGGAAAAGGTGGATGATATTGAACTGATCGGTCGCAAATCAGTTGAACTTCACAGGTGAACACGGCGTCACGGTGGCCGAGTGGTTAAGGCGTTGGACTCGAAATCCAATGGGCTCTGCCCGCACAGGTTCGAATCCTGTCCGTGACGAAGTTACTTTTTTTTTCAAAATTACAATAATAGAACTGTCGTTTAATTAAGAAAAAATAATTTGTGCAGTTACACTACACTATTTTATGAAATAATTTGTAACCAGCGAGTCAATATGTTGACTAATCTTTTTCGTTGTTTTTTGTTTACTTTTGATTAGTTATGTATAAATTAGTTGATTGGCATTACTAAGTTATTGGAGAGTCCCTCGAAAAACCAACCTTGTTCCTGCCCTCCCCGCATGTATTTTACATTTGCATTCGTACTACTGTAACATGTTTGTAATTCGATCATACTTGCAAAATAAAACCTATCGAATTAGACATCAATTCAGACATCTATGCCTCGTAAAAATTAATCTCCAACTGAATTCTTTGGAAACGATCTTGATTCTTGTCAAATTCCTTTTTTTATAGTGTAATAACCAATAAGATAAACATATCCAAAGCTAGAATATCGTCCATTCTCACTGCAGCGGAAGTCACATCACATGCAAAACGTACTGATATGGACGGAAACAAGCGAGCTGAAGTGTAAAACGGACTTGGACCCCCACATCTGCTTGGAGATAAGTCCCAAACCGAAGGTAAGGCCATGTTGATTTGATTATATGGATGACATCCTCTGGGAACCCCAAAACTGATGCGAGCGTGCGAATAAAAAAAGTTTTGCAAAAAAAACTAGAGTTCCACGATCTCATACCTTCGCCAAATGATGTTAGCCTTTATGAATATTCAATAAGAAATATACTAATCACCCTGATTATGCAAATAGGATCCTCAATTGCATGAATTATATCAGTCTGTTGGTCATATTCTCCACCAAAAGACAGTCTTATCTTGACAAAGAATGCCATTTTCTCATAAATTATGCAAATGTGGTCCTTATTTGAATAAGTTATGTTTAATTATGTTCACCTTCACTTAACTTTCAAACACCCCAAGTATGAAATTCCAGGCAGTTACCACTACGCAATTATAACATTTTCTCATTAATTATGCAAATTAAGTCTCCATTTGCATAATCAATATTTGCCTGTGTTTCTCTCGTTCTTAATAACATATGTTACAAGCTTGAACTTCCTATCATGGAATGCAGCTGATTTATAGAATTTCCTCATTAATTATGCAAATTACATCAATATTCGCATAATTGTAATATCATTATGTCAAGCATCACTTAAGCTACCTACATACCAAAAATCACGATGATCCATCAATCGGTTCTTGAGTTATCCTCTTTTAAACATTTGTCCTTTAAACCCCCCTTCAGTTCTAGAGCAAGCTGCTAGGGGGCCTAAACTCACGTCACTTCTTCCCCAGCACAAGAGCTACCTACCAACCAAATTTCATCACCATAGCATGTCTGGATCTTGAGATATTAAAACCGGAAGTTCAGCTGCAGTACCATGACAAGCCGCTAGGGGGTCCAAAATCTAATCATTTTGAGGTCTCATCAAGACCTACCCATCTACCAAGTATCAAGACAATCCATCAAAGCCTTCTCGAGTTATCGTGTTGACAGACAGACACACACACACACACACACACACATACACGAACGCCCCTGAAAACATAACCTTCTTGGCGAAGTTGCTTTCATTATGAAATCTACGTGCTAATGAAGGTTGAACAAATGACACAGAGTATGGTTTGGCGAATACTCTACTCTTCAAGTTCAAATTCATTTCTTTACATTTTCGTCTTTTTTGTTTGATTTTGGCATTCTACGGCATTGGTATCGTTTTTATTACCTTCGCCAAGAAGGTTATGTTTTCAGTAGCGTTTGTGTGTGTGTGTGTTTGTGGTTTAGCAAGATAACTTAAGAAGCAGTGAATGGATTGGAATGAAACTTGGTAGGTAGGTAGGTCTTCATGAGACCTAGATATGATTAGATTTTGGGCCCCCTGGCGGCTTTCCTAGGTACTGCAGCAGAACTTCCGGTTTTGATATCTCGTGATCTGGACATACTAGGGTCACGAATTTTGGTTGGTAGATAGCTCTTGGAGTAGGGAAGAAGTGACATGAGTTTGGGTCCCCTAGCGGCTTGTTCTGAAACTGCAGGAGCATTTGTTGAAAAAAAATTCGAAGGACGATAACTCAATAACCCGTTGACGGATTGTCATGATCTTTAGTATGTAGGTAGTTGAAGTGATGCTTGACATAATCAGATGACAATTATGCAAATCAGGAGCTAATTTGCATAATTAATGAGGACATTTTATAAATCTGCTGTTCGATAATAGAACTATGAATCACTTGTGACATGTAATTGAGAACGAGATAAAACATCCGAGGATATAGATTATGTAAATGAGGGCCTATTTTGCATAATTAATAACAAATCTTTATAATTTCATGGCTGTAACTGTTGAGAATTTCATACTTGCCACATTTGGAAGTTAAGTGAAGCTGAACATCAATACACATAATTTATTGAAATCATGACCTGATTTGCATATAATTGATGAAGAAGTGCTATAATAGCCTTTTTGTTAAAATAATATTGGGTGGAGATTGAATATGATCAACTGATATACATTTTTGTAATCCATGCAAATGAGGCTCTTATTTACAAAATCGATGATTAAATTGTATAATTCGTCAACCGCAAGGGTTAACATCACTTGGCGAAGGTATGAGATCGCGGAACTCTTGTTTAATATTCTTTTTGCAACATACGGTATATATTTGCTCATTTTGCAACTGTTTTGTACGATTTACAGTATGGTTGAAAACTTCTTTTTTTTTTTTGGAAACGGCCGAAAATTCATGCGCGCGCGGATGTCATCCATGTAATCAAATCAACATGGCCTAAGGCGTAACCATAGCCGATACACTTGGGCATCAGATCAGGGTACAGGTGGGCCCTGACAGATCTTTTGTTGGCTGCAAGACAGTGTCATTGGCAAGGTAGTATTTAATACGTTTGGCTGACAGAAAGAGTGTGTTCGGTTTCGTTCACACGTGAATACATCAGAGCCCGATGAGTCGAACTGCTGACACGGAGCTAAACTAACATTGGTTTTACCGTGGGGCAATGATCCCGGCAATCAGAGGTTGAAACGGAAACCTGCAGTCAGGTGGTAGACTTAATCTCCAAGCAGATGTAGAGTCCTTAGGGAAGGAAAACAGATATAGAGACAAACGCGGGCCAGAAAAATATGTTTCAAAAGCCTCAATTTCCCAAAACTCCCAGCATCAGGGCAGCAGGGCTGGCAGTATTTTTTTCCTGCATACCTGCACTGTTGAAGGTAAAACTGAAAATAACCAAGCACCAGGCAAATTTGATTAATTACTTGCACCACTCAGAATTTAGGAAGTATGGATCATGCAAAAAAAGTTCAAAAACCATTGTCATTATTTCTTTTATGCGTTATAACTGGAAACAGTCAATGCATCAATTAAAAAGCCACATAAACCTACATGTATTAATAAACCTTGTACATATACTAGTACCCCATTACAGGGTAGATGCAGGTATACATCAGAAATACCGGTATACCTGCACAGCTCCAATTTTACCTGTGCTAACCTGCATATGTAGGGGGCATTTCAATAGCCTCAGTAGCAGGCTTATAGATCTAGAACTGCGGGCGGTTTGGTGTTCTTCGGCTGTTTTCTGATTAGCCCAGTTGAAAAAAAAAGTACATTCAACCAGGCCTCCATAGCATGCTAAAAACTGGGGGGGGGGGTATTCATGGCCTTTGGGAACTGGGCTAAAAAGAAAACAGCCGAAAAAGCAACTATATCACCCCGACCAAAACCTCAGCTTGGAGACTCGTATACAACACGCACAGTACAATACTCCCTTCAGAACTGACCCAAGAAAGGTCAGAGAAAATCTGCCTAATCCAATATCGCCACCAGCCGATAAGACGTCCATAAGGTGTGTAATAACGGTCTTATCTTCAGCCGGCTTTCAGCACGAGTTCGCCGGGCCCGGGTCTGTAACTATGCGCGGAATGTGACGTGGTAATCCACTCCTGTACCTTTGGGGAGGGATAGGGGTTATCACTGAGATTACGTTTTCGAGATGGAAACTCCAGATTTAATGTATGGAGTCGTATTCATCGATATTTATAACAAATTGTGGAAGGATTGACCAAACAGTTGACTATCATCTTTTTAAAATGTCAACCCTAAGACCAGACTTTGAACTAATCTCCAAGCAGATCCCTTTCGGTGGCAATACAGTATCCATTAGCCAGAGGAATTTGTACGGCCACCGAAGGACACTCCTCTGGCCAATGGATACTGCCTTGCCACCATATGATCTGCTTGGAGATTAGTTTGAACCACTCACACCGGGAAGGACCCTTACTCTTGATTTTCGATAAGTATAGTTGCTAGCTAGAGAGATGATGTGGCCCTCCTGAAATAGGTACATTGTATACTAGTGTTTCCCATGGACACAACAGTACCCAAACCCAGGACCTCAAGAACAACCCTTAAAACAGTGCTACACTAATTTCCAAACAGGTGTAAGTATGGCATAGTATCACTACTCGTGTTTTGAGTTCGTCTAACTACTCTATAGGTTGAGGTACATTGTGAACTTCTTTTGTATGTACGTACATGTACATGTATGTAACGTTTTCTGACAGGTGTCCTACAGATACTCTCTTGCCGAGGTTGGTTACGACTTTGCCACCAAAAGATCTGCTTGGAGATTCGTCTTACTACGAGCATCTAGAGCCTTTTTAATAGCCATAGAAAGATAAATCTCGATTCATTATAACAGAGAAAGGACAACATTTTCGTTTTGTGAAATAAATAATTGTGAATAAACATACAATCTGAACTACACACTACAGTGTGATGTCATCCTAGATGCATCCAGAGAATTTTTCTCACAAGTGTTCATTTCGCTCCGTTTCCTATTCTTAGATCTTTTATGACCTCTGAAGACATGTGTAATATTGGTGTGTTTGGATACGGATAAAGCCTTATGTCCCAAGAGAGAGTCTATGTGTGTGTTTCTGTCAACGCCTGATTTATGTATCATTTAATTTTAAATGAAAGTTGAGCCTATGCTACTCTCCAAGCAGAGGTTTAGATTTTTTCGGCTCATCTTTTACGTGTTTTAGGCGTTTATCTCTTTTATCGTACAATATCTTTTTTTGGCAATGGATACGGCCCTGCCAATGATACTGTCTTGCAAATTTGATACTGTCTTGCAGTTACCAAAATATCTGCTTGGAGATAAAACTCCAAGCAGATGTCTAGGCTTCGTTTATTTTTGACTTGTTTTAGGCGTTTTTATCATCGCCGTCACAAAACTACGGATCAGCTGCCATAAACTACACATTGAGACCGGTCGACATAACCACACTCCCCGACAACGTATTTGTCGATACTGTAATCTAGATAGAATAGAAGATGAACTTCATTTTGTAGTAGAATGTAGTTTGTGTAACAGTGAGAGAATTGAACTTTATAGACGAATAACATCGATGTTTCCCCACTTTACACACCTAAGTAATACAGACAAATTCACTTTTTTTAATGAACTTAGACAAACCCTCGATCCTTAAACTTGTATGTTCTTATCTTTTCAACATCACAGAGAAGCGAAGAGAAGTCGAAATTATGTAACAGACTGTAGTGCTAGTACTAGATTGATCTTGTTGTGTATATATTTGTGTATTCAAGTTAACCTTTGTACCTAACCCAGTGGGTATGTTTGTACAATAAAGGTCTTCATTCATTCATTCATTTATCGGGCTTCCTTTTTTGTCCTCGTGTATCTTTTTTGGCCCTGTACTTTCGGACAAATGGACACAGCCTGATATTGTCTTTGCAGCCACCGAAAGCTGATCTGCGAGATTAGATTAAACCCAAACCGGGTCACGGTGATGAGGGTCGTAGGGCACAGCTGCATGTCCGAGCAATAAAAAGATATTTACGAGTAAATATCAAAACATATCAACGCTACAGTTACAAACAAAATGGTGTGTTGAAGTTCTTCCATTTTTTTAGGAGGGGGGCTGTCTTGGTTGAGAGACCAGCCAGGTGCGTTAGGACAGGACCAGTCGGGGTCAGCACAGTTCAGATGCCGGTCAAGTTCCCATGGACGCCGCGGGGCAGGAGTGATTCATGTTCTCGGGGTCGAGTGGAGGGCACGCCGAGCGACGACAGGCGGCGGGCCGGGGCGGGCGGCCAGGTCCCCACGGTACGGAACTGTCGGCTCGGTCTGCCGTACCCTCATGGTAAAGACGTCGACGGGAGATTCGCGGTCACGTTCGTTGTAGGCCGTCGTACGGTTTTAATATTGTACAATTTTTATAGCCTCTACCAGGCATCGCGGAGCGCTGCAAAAATAGTAGAAATTGGCCGAAAAAAAAGGATAGTATACCAGGGTATATATCTGGCCAGAGAAGATCCAATTTGCGTCCGTGGGCTAGAGTTTTGAAGCAGACAGTGGTAACCAGTATCATGCACAAGGACATACGGCAGCCGTTTCTAACAAGACATCTGATTTTTTGCACAAACCAAAAGACAAGGACAATTTAGCCTTACACTCAAGTAAAACTTATATTGTAACGCCACGAATTGTGTACGGCCGATGCACGACTGTCCCAAGAACGTCCACAGTCGTAGGACGATTTCACGACACAATTTTGGGACTCAGGGTGACGATCGAGGCCTAGGGCATAGCTTTGTCGGGGATAGACGGATAGGCGGCGAAGCAAACGTCTCTCCGCGGCAAAGTCCCTTGGCGGCAAAACTGTCCCACCGGCACCGCGGCATAACACGCGTCGCTCCCCGAATAAAAAATTAACTCCGCCACCTCAAACGTCTGCGAAGGAGGCTAGCGAGGGCACTACTTGGCCAGACTGCTAGCCTTGGATGTAAAATAAAGACAACCACCGGATGTCTGCGGCCCGAGACAGTTCCGTGTTGTTGGTGGGACATCCGATCCGCCGTGTAGCCGGGCCGCGGACGGCTGAGTGACGGAGGGAGTCCCGCAGGTGCGACCTGCCTGAACCCGCCGACTTTTTCACCTCCGCCGGGAGGGCAGGTTTTCACCCGTGTTTGTTGGTGGGTGGGTCTGTTGGTGGACAGAGTAGATAAACATTATTAAATCCCGCGTGAGGCAGCTTCAGGCGTTACACTCAAGCGCCAAACGAGTGCGCGAACTCAGAGTCCCGAGTTCGAGTCCTGACATGCCACCGATCTTGTGCCCTTGGGAAAGGCACTTTACACGGCTTTCCTTACTTAGCTCAGGTGTAAATGAGTATTGTCCTGCCGTGTATTTGTCCCCTGTGTTGGTGGCGGCATTAATATAAGTTAAAAACTTGAGTGTGTCGTCAACACGTTTTGTGATTACATGTTGGAACAAGAGTTCCACGATCTCATACCTTCGCCAAATAATGTTAACCCTTGCGGTTGAAGAATCATACAATTTTAATCATTGATTTTGAAAATAAGAGCCTCATTAGCATGGATTATATCAGTTGATCATATTTTCCACCCAATGACAACCTTATCTTCACTAAAGGCTATTATAGCACTTCCTCATAAATTATGCAATTGAGGTCATGATTTGAATAAATCATGTTTATTGATGTTCGCCTTCACTTAACTTCCAAATGTGGCAAGTATGAAATTCCCAGAAGTTACAACTATGAAATTATAAAATATTTCCATTAATTATGCAAATTGGGTCTTCATTTACATAATCTATATCCTCAGATGTTTTTTCGTTCTCTATTACATGTCACAAGTGTTTCATAGTCCTATTATCGAACGAAGCAGATTTATAGAATTTCCTCATTAACTATGCAAATTAGCTCCTGATTTGCATAATTATCATTTGATTGTGTCAAGCATCACTTCATCTACCAACATCCCAAATATCATGACAATCCGTCCACCGGTTCTTGAGTTATCATCCTTCGAAAATTTTTCAACAAATGCTCCTGCAGTTCCAGAACAAGGCGCTAGGGGGGCCAAACTTATGTCACTTCTTCCCTACCACAAGAGCTATCTACCAACCGAAATTCGTGACCCTGACATGTCCAGATTGCGAGATATCAAAACCGGAAGTTCTGCTGCAGTACCAACAAAAGTCGCCAGGGGGCCCAAAATCTAATCATTTCTAGGTCTTATCAAGACCTACCCACCTACCAAGTTTCATGACAATGCATACTAAGCTTCTTGAATTATGCTGTTCACAGACAGACAAACAGACAGACAGACGGACAAACGCTCCTGAAAACATAACCTTCTTGGCGAAGGTAATAAAAAAAAAACCTCTGTACGTAAACCCTTGATGAGACCTAGAAATGATTAGATTTTGGGCCCCTGGCCGTTTGTTACTGCAGTGGAATTTTGGGTTAGCCGCCTGTATCCATTGGTCGCCTCTATGCATCGTCCGCTTGCCCCACCGAATCTGCTTGGAGATTAAAAGAACCCAACAAATATGGAGAAGAGTAGTGTGGTTAACCTGGAGTCCACCCTTGTTAACTTTAGTCGGCCGTTGGCTGGATAGCGGATTTTGGGGAGCGGACTAAACTAACAAGGCTAGACTCCAGGCTATCGTGTGATAGCCTATAGTGTGATAGGCTTACTTTGCTATAAATTCGAGCTGTAACGAAGCCGCATTGCACTATAAGCTATTTTTTTAAAGACCAAGTTTTTTACTACTTTACTTTCTCCAGGACGGCGGCTAATATTGGCCACGACATATTCAAATTTAGGGAAGATCGAGTTCCAAATCCTTCACTGTTAGAACTTGGAAGAGTACGCAGTTCACCTTGCAGCTCCCTTTTAAACTGCAGACAAAGACAGGTGGTGAATATAACTGGCGGATTCGCTTAAAAGACATCAAGTACAGTTTTTTGGACTTGACAGGTTGACCAACAACAGTGTTGCTAACAATGGACATACGTCTACAAATGAGACATTTATTCATTGTTCCCATCAAACGATTATTAATATTTACAGTACAATCGCTGGGTGCGCTCACAATGACGTGAGAGCAATATTGAAAGGCAATCTTTTGCATTGCCACTGTATTTCGGTCGGTGGCGCTTTTGACTACTTTAAAATATTTCAGAGCATACTGTAAACTTTATCTCAATCATAACATCAGACTCGAGTCTCACGTACTGAAACATCTGAAATAGCAAGAGACAAACGAAGATGGATTGAACTGTACAGAGACGTATACTGATTTGGTCTGTCAATTGTAGTTTGCTTATACATGTAGTCTGCTAATTTACAGTCAAGAACAGTTTATTTATTTATTTATTTATTGAAATTGCGACGAATACAATACAATGTGGACACAAGGCAGCTAATCAGCTGATGGCGTGACCACATACATAGAATATACATACATACATACAATATACATGTCAAACAGCAAATACAATTGAATAGCAAGAAAGAGCTAAGAATCATGTACATCTATATACAAAAATAGCTAAGATTAGAAAGGTGCTAAGGCATGTAAATACCGTAAAGACTAGAACTTAGTACAATATGGAAAAGCAGAGGATCAGCTGGAAGTAAATCTTTTTGTAGATGTTATAAACGTGTGAAGTGCATCTGAAAGTTGCTTATTGATAGTAGGGTCATGGTCTGGTGAACCTTGAAGTAGGAGGGAAACGGTGGGACGTTGTTGGACAAGTCGTTCAACAGCTGCAGTAAGTCTGCTGCGATGGTCAGAGTATAGGGGGCAATGTAATAAGTAGTGCTGGACTGTTTCAGAAGAAGAACCGCAGACACATGCTTTGCCCTTGATCTTCATCTTGTATAGTGTACTGTTCAGTTGGCACCGGCCCACGCGTAACCTGGTAGTGCGTATGTTGTTCGGCCTTGAGCCTAGAGTACGGTACATCTGATGATGCCTCGTGGTCAACAGGTGCTTTTTACTCGCTCTCTTGAAAGCAGCAAGGTTGCTGGCGTCTCTGACTGTCTGGGGTAGCTGGTTCCAAAGTGAAGATGTATGTGGAATAAAGCTGGTTTTATAAACCTGAGTCCGACAGCGAGGAACACAAAGGTGAGTATTGTTGCGTAGTTGTATACGTGTAAACTGGGAGCCCCTTGTTGGTGGAGTAAGCGACTGTAGATGTGGAGGTACGAGGCCTTTCGTCATCCTGTACATGATGGTGAGTGAGTTGTATTGTCGTCTAGAGGATAAAGTATCCCATTCTAACTCCTGCAGTAGGTTTGAGTAAGGTGTACCCTTCATCGCCCCTGTGACGAGACAACAGGCATGGTATTGAACCTGTTCCAGCGTCTTGCTTGCTGTGTTGTTAAGGTCTCCCAGGAGCGCTGCAGCGTACTCCAGTCTTGGTCGTACTAGGGCAAAGTATGCTGTCTCCAGCGCTTGCCTACCCAGTTTGCCCATAACCTTGCGCAGGACACCTAGTACTTTCCTACTTTTGCTTGTTGTCACTTGTACGTGTTCTGTCCATGTGAGAGTCTGGTGGATGGTTACACCCAGGTGGCTATATGAGGACACTTGCTCCACTAACTTCCCATGTAAGTAGATAGGCGGCAGCAGGGCGTTTTTTCGGCCAGATTTGACGCAGACCACCTTACACTTATCAGGGTGGAGTGTAAGGCCCCAATCCGAAAACCAAGTTGACACCAGTTGTAAATCAGCATTGATTGAAACTGCCACTTCCTGAGATGTCTTAGCTGAATTATACAAAGATGTGTCATCAGCAAAGCAATTTAACGCTGACCTACACGGGAGACTCATCAGATCGTTTAAGTACACGAGAAATAACAGAGGTCCGAGTATGCTGCCTTGGGGGACACCTGCTGCTGTTTTCCCCAGGATGAGGTGACACCGTTTATGACGACTCTTTGTTGTCTTCCTGTCAAGTAGCTGTCGAACCAATGCAGTAGGGGCCCTCCCACACCGTAGCGGGTCAGCTTGTATGTCAACCCCCTGGTGCCAGACTGTATCGAAGGCCCGTCTTACATCGAGAAAGACGACTGCTGTGCAGGAGATGTCAGGGTCGTCTATCGACCTGGCCCAGTCGTTTACCATTCTGATTAGTTGGAGGACTGTTCCATCACCCTTTCTGAAACCTGATTGGTTGTTGTGTAAGAGGTTGTTTTCCTCCAGATAACTGTACAGGTGGTTGTGAACAAGCCTTTCCATCACCTTGGCAACCGTTGGTAACAGGGATATAGGCCTGTAATTAAGGGGATCGGTCTTGTCTCCCTTTTTGTACACAGGGGTTACATTGCTCTGTTTCCATTCCGTGGGGAATGTTCCGGTTGACAAGGAGTAGTTAAATAGGCATTGTAACGAGTCACAGATTTCAGGCGCAGCCTCTCTAAGAAGTTTGTTTGAGATCCCATCAGGTCCCGGGGCTTTGTCGACTTGAAGACTCAGCAGTACAGTCAGGACTTCCTCACGGGTGACTTGAAGTGTTGTGAACTGTTTAGAGGTAAGTATGGGAAGTTTCATAGTCCTGTCCGGATGGTTACAGTCTTTAGTAATGTTTACAAATATTTCATTCAGAAGTTATTTATTATTATTATATTATATACTATATTACTGACTTAGCTGTTGCTTATCTCGAATCCATTTCCGTAAGAAACACTTATCAAAAGAGCCCAAATCTATACAAACAACAGGGTATCAGCACAATAGTAATACAACATTGGGACGACACAGCATCTAAACGTCCTACAATCTAAGGCGCATGGGTGACTGACCGATATCACAAGATCTATTAGATATCTACAAATTCACCGGACTGTTTTAATGTAAATGTAAAGAGATCTAGAGTTAGAAAAGTTATTTGCAATATTAGAACAAAAAGGAACAACCTATATTTTTGGTTGCATATGTACACTACCACCCAATTCCGCTAGGTGACATTATTTACGGCTTTTTACTACGAATCCACAGTCATGATTTTATTTCCGTCATATTTCCTAGTCTCTACCAGACTCCTTTGCACGGCAAACTGGACCCTCTATGGCCGGCCAACTCCTCTGGCCAATGATTTTCCCCTTTGCCGATTTCTACTATTTATTCAGCCTGCAAAGGAGTCTGGTAGAGACTACATATTTCCCAGAAAATTCTAGAAAATCCCTGCTGATCAAGTGCATGTCTCAAGTAATTTCAGTAACAGCGAGCTGCGGTACCCAGCAGGACGCAGAGAGGGCGCTGTTGTACGGCACATTGGGGGAAGTGGGAGACGTCGGAGGACTGGCAGGTTGGGCGTCATCTTCGCCTGAAATAGAAACACACATATGAAACACCAAGGAATGGTATTTTACAGCGCAGTCTACTTTGACAAAAAATAAGAAATTTTTTGAACGTTTTCAAGAAATGTAACAAGAAATCCCAGAGCTCCTTGAAGAAATAGAAGACTACTATGAAGCATTCAATCCTCGGCTTGCTGAATTCCCTGGCCTTTGGCAGGCTTATGAAGCGGATAGAAAGCGTCGGAAATGGCAGAAAGTATAAAAAATATGGACAGGGAGTTGATCCAACAGACAAACTGTACTCGATCTGTCTAGTTGGTCAATGTCAACTAGTAGAAGTTATGAGTATGAGACATTCACTGCCCGCCCTCTTGACCTGCTGTCATTCTGTCAATCTTCCCCACCCACGTTCTGTCAACATATGCACAAACCTTCAGCTTAGCCACCCAAAGTAATACTTCCGGTTACTTTAATAATCTCAAACTGACTTACCTGACATTTCCAGGCCGTTGATCAAACCGTCAATCTTTGGGACCGGCGCGATTCCCGATCTGCGCATGCTCCGCTTACGGTTCGCGGCTCCATTTCGTCCAATCAGAGAGCTGCTGCGAAGGATGACGGGATCGCCATTCAGCACCTCGTTAATGCACGTGACTTTCGTCTGAATGGTGCTGACTACAGGAGGAAACAATCAAGAAACAGCAAGATTTCAGACATCTATACGAAGTATTTAGAGTTTTTGTGAATATACTTTTATTCATTATTGTACATTTGTATATACTTTTATTCATTATTGTGAATTCCTCATTGATTCTGTATATACGTTTTCCCACTCGCTTCCATACGGCAATATACATGAATATAACAGGAAACTGAACATAGAAAATGAGATGATCGTATTGCATTCACTTCCTCCGAGCCTGCGGGAAGAACATTGCACCCCCAATTTGACCTTCCTGTCAGTCAGCGGTTGTCCTCCCCTCTCACTTCCTATCAGTCTATCATATTCATAATATCTAACTGCGGACACGTTGGTAAATAAACAAGAAAGTACACCGAAAACATTGCGTAGACCTCGAGCCAAAAAATATCAAAATTACACAAATGCAATTCCGAACAGTGATATCGAAAAAAAAAAACGTACCGGTGTTTTTGTCGCTGTCATTCCGTCTCGACCGTGTGGAGCAGTTGGAGTTCCCTGTGCCTGACGACTGGTTCAACGCCTCCGCGGCGCCACACAGCGCTCTGTGCCGCTTCTTGGGCAGCTTGAGCATGGCCTGGGCGTGCGAGTAGTACAGGTTAAAGTTACTGACGATGACGGGGACCGGCAGGGCCACCACCAGCACCCCGGTGACGGCGCACAGCGTCCCGACGATCATCCCGGCGAACGTACGGGGTACCATGTCTCCGTACCCGAGAGTCGTCATGGTCACCACGGCCCACCAGAACGACTGCGGGATCGACGTGAACTTGTTGTGGTCGTGTTTCGCGGTTTGCTCGGCGTAGTAGATGAGACTGCCGTACACCAGCACCCCGATGCCCAGAAACACCATCAGCAGGAGCAGCTCTCTCGCGCTGGCACGCAGGGTGTAGGCCAGGATCTTCAACCCCGTGAAGTGGCGCGTCAGCTTGAAGATCCGGAAAATGCGGGCTAACCGGACCATCCCCAGAAACCGTATGCTCTCCTCTGCCGCGTGAGTCGCCATGAAGGACAGCGACAGTTCCACGAAGAACGGAAAGAAGCTGAGGAAGTCCACGATGTTTAAGAGAGACTTGATGAAGGCGAGTTTGTCCGGGCAGAACGCTAAGCGAGAGAAGAACTCCAGAGTGAACCAGGCGCAGCAGAGCATCTCCAGGTAGACCAGCGGCCTGGCCATGACCAGGACGATGTTGTTGTTACGGGCGGTGGTGTTACCGTCGCTCACCGTCTGGACCGTGTGGTTCACCTCCGTGAGAAAGTACGAGTGCGTCTCCAGACAGAAGATGCTGATGGCCATCATCACGAAGGCGAGAGACGTGAAGGCAAGCGCCTGGACATGTGGAGACAGAGAACGAGAGGTGTTAGTATGTTAGTCTGTGTAACACACATTCTAGCTGTTAAGTGTTGGGGCCTGACAAGTTTAAGCATGGAGGTAGAACCTCCATGGTTTAAGTGGGATTTAGTCAGGTACGAATTCTTTGTATGCCAGTGTACAACGAACGCACATGGGCAGAACGTGCTGCGCCTGCGCGAAATCCTGGATATTTCACGGTATTCGTTGGGTGTTTATCAGAATTTTGCCTGTTGCAGACGATATTTTTTTCCTCTTCAACATTTGAAAACTATAGATAGGATGTTATCATTGCGTACGCGAATACGTGGTACGTTCTGCCAACGTCCTCTGCACATGTTACATGTAATTGTAATGAATCAGTTTGCAGGCCATGTTTTATATGTTTATGTTTTTGTTTATGTTTATTAGGAACTCCATTACTATTATATATTCCTGCAGTCCTGTGCATTGAAGGTTACATATGATACACATAATTTATGCATGACCAAACGTGTTTTGCATAGGTCTCAGAGGCCTTAAACTTTGCCATATTACCAAGAATGCACCACGGCCCGCATGCGCACTTGGGTCCGTGAACTCGCCTATTGAAGACTCTTACCCGTGCATACTTGGACGAGTACGGCTCCTCCAGAAACTTCCACACCTTCGGCTGCCATCTTTGCCAGAACGATTTCTGGTCACTATCGAGACATTCTTCGATTCCAAACCTTAAGTTGAAAGAAACACACCTGATTTAGACACACTTGAAGCGGGCTCGCCATTAGCTGTTCCTTCTTACAATAAAAGTTAGCGCTTTATTCAATAGAAACGTTCCCGGTTTTATGAAGTTAAAAATGGTTGGGAGTAAGTCGGCAGCAAGGTCGGCCGTGGTTGGCTGATGTTCGGCGAGGTCCGCTGCTGTTTAATTGAAAATTTAATTGCAAATTCGTGCCCGGAGGCTAATTGCAAATTACAAAACATAAGAGAGCAATGAAACAGAGTATAAAATAAGTAAAGTTTACAGTAATAAAGGTAGCTGTCTAGAACTATAGCTATTTCTAAAACTATGTCTGAAGGGTTTATTAAAGACATTCAAGTATGCGCGTGAGGTTGGACATGGTTGGTGTTCGGGAGTATGTTTACAGTGTTTAGGCGTCAAATTTGACTGTAATTTAACTTGAATTTCACTCGATTCGTATAGAAAGGTAGGCGTGACCTAAATCTGGACTGCTCCCGAACTTGAGCCAACCTTATTTGGTTGGTTATCGGGAGAAGGTTCTGAATGTGTGACAGGGGCTTTACCTCCGCGCTATCTCCGCGCTCAGGCCCGTCTCGTCGTCCTCGTGGTCTGACCCCTCGAAGGCGGTGATGGTCTCCTGGGCGTCCCGGTGTTGCTGGTATAGTAGAAATGGACGAGACATACTCCTAAAATCCAACAATGGCAGCCAAAGACTACAGCTATACGTAATTCTTAAATCAACATCCTAGTCCAAAAGATGAGTTAAAGTTGCAACATCAAGACGGTTGCAGTTGAAATAGATCATGTAACATTTTCAACTTTGCAGTTCATGTATTTTCAATAAGGCAATAGAGTCGAACCGAGCTTTGATGTCGGGATCTGACACTGTACAGATTTCTGTTAATCTTAATATATTATATAGTAGTATATAGATGCCAGACAGTGTCCATGGCCTACATACATGTACATGTAGGGCAGCTCCTCGGCTCCAGGCACAGCGTGCTCCCAATGAAATTAATATACTACCCCCCCCCCCACGCTTACTAGCTAATCCCTCGAGGACTAAAGTGCAATGGATCTGGCATCCAGACTACGTTTTATGCTACGGTCACAACCCGCCGTACGTGCTTCTGCGTGCTGTCTACGTGCAAAAACGTGGGCAAACGTAGGGCATCCGTGCGTGGTGAGTACCGCCTCCGTACGGAATCCTACGGATTTGGGAGCACGCAGATACGCCGTAGAACTTTAAGTGCATGTAAAACTTTTTCTACGTGCGGTCTGCGGATTCACCACCCATGCGTGCGAGTACGAGCGACGCGCGTGCCCCGTACGTGCCGTGCGGAAGAAGCACGTGTGAGTACGGCCTCCTTACGGTAAAGTTGCAATCGCACAGAGATCGTACGTTGTAAGCACGTACAACTCACTTACCACTTGCGCAACGTACGATGCACGCAACCGCTCACGGCCAGACGTGGCGTGCAGACCACCCTCTTACACCTTGCGAAACCGTGCGAGTGACGTGCGTCAATGCCACTCCTTCCCCACGTTTTCACAAAAAACGTAGCAGACGTAGCCTCCCAAAAATGTACGGAGAAAAATGCACGCACGGCGGGTTGTGACCGTAGCTTTAGTGGAGAAGAACTGTACCTGGTAGCTCATCCAGCAGCACGGCTCGATCTGCCGCTCGTCGATGCCCCAGAACGCCAGCTCCTCCTCGAACAGCGGCCCGCACACCTCGGACGGGTAGTGCAGCTTCCCCGTGCGGTAGTAGTTCAGGATCTGTCAGGTAAAATTTTAGAATATACTTAGCCTCCGTAGCAGGCTTATAGAACTGGGGGTTTGGTGGTCTTTGGTTGTTTTCTGATTAGCCCAGTTCTAAAAACGGGGGTAATTCAACCATGTTATTCAACTATGTTGTCAGAAAATAGCACATAAAATCCCAAAGACCCTGAAGACCCCCCCAAACCCCCAGTTTTGGGCATGCTATGGCGGCTAGAATATACTGTTGTACAGGTATAGTCGTACAAACTTCGTACGGTCGTACGGTTGCAAATTGTGGGTATTCTTGGGCTAGCCATGCATGCGTCGTACAAAACTGAATTTCAAAATACAATTAAAAATAAATTCAATTGTCTTGACAAAGAAAATACTGTCTTTGATTTTTTTTTATTACAGCCTGCTTGAAAATCCCACGTTATATCAAAATCGAACGACGGCCTACTTCGAATCTGACCACACCGTTAGTCTATAGCTCAGAATCCAAGGGAAGAGTTAGGTAATATCTACGAATATTCATTTTTGTACACGTGTCCTGGTAGATGATAGCCTGGGTTCCATCCTGGTCAGTTACGTCCGCTCCTACAGTCGCTACCACCAACCAGGCTTAAACCTACCGTCAGAAACCAGGCTTGAACCTACCGTCAGAAACCAGGCTTGAACCTACCGTCAGAAACCAGGCTTGAACCTACCGTCAGAAACCAGGCTTGAACCTACCGTCAGAACCTACCGTTGGTGGTAGCGACTGTAGGAGCGGACGTAAACTAACCAGGATGGAACCCAGGCTAGGTAGATGAGAATGTACAGTCTGATACAGACACGTTATTAATGAAGAAGGGCTTTAATTGCACATTTTTGCCTCACTGCAGCTAGGCTAAGTACAGACAAGGACGTCTTCGATATATAGGTCACATATTGACACAATACATGTACACAATACGGCATATTGTGAAGTAGAACGGTAGTCTGGGTGCCATCCCCCGTAGTATTCGCACGCTCCCTAATGTCTTAGCTACCACCGCTTTTCTGTGGGGTAGCGACTAGCCTCCACCAGGCCTTTCTACGGGGATACGGATCGTAGAATTCGGCAAAAGAGTAAAATTGGCCAAGGGAGTCCGGCCGCGGGGAGGTAGTTTCTTTCGATAGTTTCTGCGCGGCCTGTCAAACCTATAAGGCGGCCAAACTCCCCTGGCAAATATTCTCCTATATATAGCCAGCGTACTTAGTCAGGTAGAGACTAGGTAGCGACAGGAAACAGTGATGCCACAGCGCAGTACGGTTCTTGATAAGGCACGATACTGGACGCAGCATGTCCCCAACATCACCAAGTCAACACTGTATATGTTATTATGTTGTTTACATTAGCTGTCGACTCCGCTCGTCGTATCCATTTATTAGTCCACCAGAAAACCGGTATGTTCAGTATACTGGATAATAATACAGGCATCATCACACCACGTGATTTATAACTATAACTTTATTAATAGTATTAGCAGCATTATTTTATGCTCATTTTTACTGTTACTGAGAAACTATTTTTTTCTATCTTCTCCAATGATCTTGCAATTAATAATCAGGTATGAATTTGCACTAAAGTTTGACGTAACGAATAGTTAGGTCACTTTCCACCTGTCAAGCCTTTACATGTGTTGCGATTCCCTAGGGATGTGACCCACAGGTGCTCCGGGCTATCTAACTGGGTGACCAGACATCGGCTGTCTGCAGTCCTTTTGTCACTTAGGCTTCCGAGAATTCAAGAACGGGTACACATATAGGCGTTTCAGACAACACTTTGTTGAACCAGGTTTAAACCTAACGTCAGAAACCGGGCTTGAACCTACCGTCACTGAAACCTGGCTTGAAACTACCGTCAGAAACCGGGCTTGAACCTATCTTCAGAAACCAGGCTTGAACCTACCGTCACCAGGCTTGAACCTACCGTCAGAAACCAGGCTTGAACCTACCGTCAGATAGAGACCAGGCTTGAACCTACCGTCAGAAACCGGGCTTGAACCTACCGTCAGATAGAGACCAGGCTTGAACCTACCGTCAGAAACCAGGCTTGAACCTACCGTCAGATAGAGACCAGGCTTGAACCTACCGTCAGAAACCGGGCTTGAACCTACCGTCAGATAGAGACCAGGCTTGAACCTACCGTCAGAAACCAGGCTTGAACCTACCGTCAGATAGAGACCAGGCTTGAACCTACCGTCAGAAACCAGGCTTGAACCTACCGTCAGAAACCAGGCTTGAACCTACCGTCAGAAACTTCGACGTTGCTTACTTAATTTCACCGTTGCGAAGCCAGCAAACGAAGGCAGAGAAGGACAAACTTTCTGAGTGTGACCTCGTTTACAGGACTGGGCGGATTTTATCTTCAGTTTTCACAACTGACAGGAGCATCAGGACAGATCGACAGGATTTTTATGTAAAACATCCAATTGCGCTTTCTAGGTCTATTTCGTGGCTCGCTCACAGGAAAAATACAGGGCCATATCCCCCTAAAGAAGGAGAGGTAGACAGAGGAAGAAGTGGGACGACAATACTGAGGAGTGGACCGGCCTGCCCCATTGCCAGCGCTAGCACGTGTACTGGCACATGACAGAGATTGGAGTAGAGGGAGACAGTAGTAGTGTGTTCGGCCACAAATCGTCGACCATCCCCCGGTTAAGGGACCGGTAAGCTGTAAAGAAAAAACTCAAAATACGACCAGCATCGCCGTTGAATAGTAAAACACCCAGTGGTTCAACGCTGCCTGTACAAAAAGTGGCCTTCAGAATGTCCTTCCCAATAGACGTCGACTCGCATTCTAACCCTACGAGCAATGACAGCCACGTCACTGCGTCCACTACAACGTCCACACAACATCTTGCGGAAGAAAAAGGAAACGAGCTCGAGCGAGGCAGTACCGTCAAGTACGTTCTCTTCCGTTGCCTTGACGCTGTCATCAATGGCGTTGTCGTCGCTCCTCTGGTCGTGGCCTACTTCCGTGGGACCTGGAATCTGCTCGACACTTACCTTCTACCAGAAAACTTCAGTCTGAGCGCTGTGACATCGCTTGTGATCGGGATTGCTATCACGCTTCTCATAAACTTATTCCAGAGCGTATTGGGATCCCTATTCGCTGAACAAGGAGTCGTGTTCCACATCGTGTACAGGCTGTACATCTATATCTACGGCTTTGCGGCGATAAACCAGTTCAGAGGAATTTTTTACGTGCTGGACGACCTGACTGGAGAGACTATCCTCGGGGCAGCCATTTGTGTCGGAGTGTCCCTCTTGGTCTCCGTCCCTCTTTGTGTGGTAAACAACATTGCAGCGTCTCCGTTTATCACCGACGTCGACATCATCGAAGAACCGTTTCGTGTGGAAACCCGTTTCGGAGTGAAACCGGCCAAGACGTGGAAGTTCGTCGGTGACGTGGTCCTGACCGTGGTTGTTATTGTTTCCCTGACGATCGTCGCCTGGCGTGGAACCTGGCTACTGTTCGCCCTCCTCATCTTTCCATCCGACTTCACTCTTTCTACGTGGACGACCTTAGGCATCGGATACGCCATCTACATAACTCTCCTTGTCTTAGAATACCCGACGTCTTGTCTTGTCAGAAAAATGAAGACGTTTTACGTTGGTCTGGGGGTCGAGATGATTTTCAACTTCGTCGGTGGAGTCGGGAGTGTGGCGGTGTGGCGCGGAATGTGGAATGTGTACGATATTTACATCTTTCCGGACTATCCCCTCACAAGTGATTGGCTGACGCACGGAATCGGAGCCGCAGGTTTGTTGTTTTTGTTTGTTTGTTTGTTTGTCCATTTCTGTTTGCTCTTAAAAAAACAAGTAAGATTGTTGTTAGTTATGTAGGACTGTGCAGGAGAATCCAGAAACCTGTAGGGCACATACTGCTTTCTCTGCTTAGTAATTAGCATTTGGGAAAGTATAGGAGTTAAACACGCACCACTACCAGTGGACTAGCCCCCTGCTGTGTGGTGGCCCAAGGGCTATTGAACCGACGATGGGCACCGCCTTATGCAAAACCTGGTGCGGGAATGACTATTGTGTTTACTGAAGGGAAACATGTTTTGGATCTATTTCTTCCTCTTCTCCAAACCAAAAAGGTCCTGAACCAGACGTTTATCACCATGGTAACTGGTGTAGGGTTACATCACGTTGCAATTTTATAGCAGGAGGGATTTAAACTGCTGTCTGACCATTGTGTTTGAGTAAGAATTAACAGAACAGACTATATGCCAAGGTAAACATTATGCATTTGCTTTGCAAATGTTAACCTTTCTAGTAAGTTTTAAGTTACTTTTACATGCCACAGGTTTGTTCGCCATACAAGCTGGACGCAGCGCGCTGGTTACCGGCTCCGAGGTGGATGGAGCGGCGGACGGCAGCGGCGTCAGGCTGGGCCGCTACCTTGAGCAGATCTGCCCAAAACTGGTAAGTTGTTGCTTTATACACCTTTTGTCTCTTGACGTGCCACGTTCCACCAGGCTCCTTTGCTGACTAAACAATGAACTTTAATACATGTATATGACACAACAAAAGTACAGCGACCTTCGTAGGGTCTTTAACTACATGTAGGCATACAGACAGACACGTGGGTACAACAAAATTGACCTACGTACTTGTAAAACAATAAATAAATCAACTTATACCTCTTGTTCTAAGGTCTAAACATTCTTTGATATATTTAACTATTTGTACACAGTAAGGTTTATTACCTTCTAGAATTAATTGAATTTATCTATAGCTTCATTATCCAATGGCTGTCCATGTGGCCCCACAGCTATCAATGGTGTCTACTGTCAATATACTATACTATACTAATATATGCTATCAATATACAGTAACAGTATAATGTATCAGTCATGACCAGTCAGTTCAGTTCATGATGTATTGTATAATGTAATTTTCCTTTCTGTCCTGTAGGTAGAAAAGCTCATCTCCAAGGCACCAGGCCAAGGACCAGCGCCAATTCCAGGTGATGTGAAATTCGAAGAAACTCCCATGTAACTTAATTTCACCACAAAGCTGAGCCATCCTAGTCTGGGTGCTTAATTGTCTTCGTCAGAAGGGTATAAAATCAGTCTGCTTTAGTGTGGGAGACTGTGGATTTAGCGGCATAACTCTTAAAGGCATGGTTCGATGTTAATGATTTTTGGGAGGTAGGTTGAAGTTGTAGAGACCAAGGTCAAGTGCGAATATGGGCTTCGTGGGGGGTCCCTACATTAATGCAGTGGACCTTTTGTGTTTGTCACTTGTTAGCAGAATAAATCGAGGATATGTAAATCTATGTTAATGATGTAGAGATCAAGGTCAAGTTCGAAAACGGGCCTCGTGGGGGGGGGGGCCTACATCACTGCAGTGGACCTTTGGTGTTTGTTGGTTTTTCAGCAGTTCAAGTTCTGGAAAAGCAATTGTTTGGATTTTTGAATGGTCAATAAGATGATGTGGTGTAAGTTTGGACTTCCTGGTGTTTTGTGGGGAAGTGCAATGGGCCTTTTTGTGTAAACATTTGAAGGGGAAGTGGATGTCTTTTATCTAGGTTAACGTCCTTAGGTTAATGACCTCCAGGTTATGAAGGGCAGCTGCAGAAGACCCAGCCAGCTCGCCCAGTGATGATAGTGATAAAAAAATTAGATCATATTGCTAACATCATTAATTTTTTTTCAAATGGACTGAGAGACTTGATTATTTATCACATTTATTTAGTATGTATTTTTATTCTAATGGAAAAACGTTGATAACATAAAAAGTTGAGATAAGTAGTTTTTCAATGGTAGTGTCATTTTGTTACCAAATAAGTATATACTTACATCTTTACTTGGAAAATAAATGAGATAACATGTCCTTGTCTCATTTTTTTCCACATAAGAATCCATTCAAACCCTACATGGAAACTAAGTGCATGCCATGAAAACTAAATATCTTTTAATGATGTGCGTATATGGTGATACTGAACAGAAATCGCAGATTGTACCATTGTCGCAAATTGTACTCTAATTGGGATCTCTACCAGAATTGCCGATTCTACCAGATCTAGAGTCCCTACCCAGACATACATGTACTGCATATTGAGGCTAAATTAGTGGGTTTCATGTGTGCCCTTATATATTACAAAAGTGTACATGCTTTATAAACTTTTGAAAGTTACTTACCTAGTAATTTCTCTGAAATGTTAGGATGGCTTTTGTTCATAAGATGAGACAGAATTTGTATATATACAGTCGCAAAGGTTAAAGTTATTTTTATCGTTTTAATTGTTTTTATTATTTATTATCTTTTGTTTAACTGTACCTGTACACAATATGACATATTGTAGAGTAGTTCTATACCTGTGAGAAGAGACCAGGATGTCTATCGAAGAAGTGTTCTCCCGTCACCCGGTCGAAGTCCGCGTTATGTGGCGCCTCGGCCAGCCAGGCCAGCCGGGTGTCCGGAATGTTCTGCGAATGGAAGATGTAAGGCCACACCAATTTAATTTCTTGGTTAACGGATTTTTCTAGAAAATTAATGGAGAGGGCGGGCGACAAAAAACAGGCCTAGGCATCCTAAATTATGGCCCAAAATGGTACGATAGGAGCCATGAAGTCAACACACCAGGCTGGTTCAAAATTTAAACAATGAATTTTGAAAATTTTAATTATACCACTGCATTGAAAGATGGAATAACTGTAACAATTAGGATGAAAAGGACTGTTTTCAACTGTTTAGGGCAAAATATGAGCATTTTGCAGTTAACGTTGATTCTAAATTTTTATTTTTATTGGCAAATCAGAAAAAAATGAAGCGGGCGAATCCATTAACCAAGAAATTAAATTGGTGTGGCCTGAAGAAAGGCTAAAAAAGTTTTGTGAAGATTGACCACAGAAAGGAGCTGGTTGGATTTTGTGAATATTAAATAATAAATAGTAATAACTTGGGAAGAGGGCATTGGGAAACGCTTACGCATAAGGACGTATTTGCAATAAATGTGGTGTTATCTTGAAAGTTCATCTGTGTTGCTACGTTTTTGCACGAGGTATTAAAAAAGACGTCTACATCAGCAGCAGGGCATAAGAACCATTCTTCAACAAAGAAATCCGGTACTGCAGTACCATACAAGCTGCCAGGGGGCGCAAAACCTAGTAATTTCAAGGTCTTACCAAGACCTACCCATCGACCATGTTTCATGACAATCCATTCATATATTCATGATTTATGGTGCTAAACGTAACCACATGCACACACGTACATGCATACATATCCTTCTTGGAAATGGTACTAATTTTATCATTATCAAAGTTCATACATTTATACAGATCCTGTGACTGTGAAACACACTGAACTTCAAGAAGAGTGACAGAGACCTACTGAAATCCGTTTAAATCAGAAAGGCTGCACGGCTGTATTTTACCTCTCACATTTAGGACGCATCACATTGTTCACCGTACGGCGCACTGAGTGGCCGGCTGGAAACATTAGTGTTTAATCTCTGTTTTCTCCGATAACAATGTTGGTTGGTCTGTATGTAGAGGCCTTGTGACTCGTAACACGTTTCTCACCGGTATGTGAACGAAATTTCACGTGAGCGAGGCTCCACACCTTAGCACACGCAGAAGGCTCAATTTGAGGTGCGTGCATACAAGCCGAATGAAAACAGCCTCTTCCTTGTCGTGTGTGGATAAATGCTGGTATTTACCACCCGTCACACAAAGCTAGTTTTGGAAGCTACGCATGTACTGAGTTCTTGAGTCGTGGAGCTTCGGCAGCCTGTGCCGTCCTCCAGAGTTACCACCGGCTCCGTATTGTCCCTAACTACTATGGACTGACTACCCAGGTCTAGAGCCAGCCTGGGCCAGAGCCTCGGAGGACGTGATCTTTTTTTAGGAACAGGCGCGCGGATGTCATTCATAAAATTAAGGACATTATACATTATTGTGTATAATGTCCTTGATAAAATTAAGTCGGTGTGGCCTTACTAAAAAAAAAAAAACCTGAAAAGTCGAAAGCCCAACAAAATATTACTTTCCAAGCAGAGGTTTGGGTTTGGGCATATTTGTGGCGTGTTTTTATGCTTTTTTTTACTAGACTTTCTTTTTGCATTGGTATCTTTTTGTCGGGTTGCTGAAAAATAATACCAGTTCAAAAAAGAAAGCACAAAGCCTAAAACACCAAAAATAAGCCCAAACCCAAACCTCTGTAAGAAGTCATATGTCTATTGTGTTGTGATTTCTGTGGCATGTTTTGTCTACAAACCAATTTTCGCCGATAATCATTGATGTTTGATTTTTTTCCCGGCCCTTTGGATTTAGTCCCAAGGCACGAGGTCCATTTTGACACCAGGAAAGCTACTCATACAGACTTGCTATCATACATCAAAATAAACTTTGGTTATTGCAGATTCAAAAAATCTATGGTAGCATTGGTCCGTCTTGGTGGTACAAAAAACGGTCTCGGCCCATGGACTATCATTCCCGGTGTGAGTGCATCAAAACTTACAGTCTGGTCTCAGAGTTGACAACTAAAAATGACACCTTGAAAAGGTGATAGTCAGCATTTTGGTAGAGTAGCAAAACGTCCGAAACAAACCTAAGTAACATGTGCTTGCAGGATACCTGTACGTACCCTAAGCGTGCTGAGGTAAGTCTCGTGCCGGCACCCTCCCACGTTCAGCACGATCCTGTTCCTGGGCGCCGCCGAGCGGAGAGGCGGGACCATCAGCGACCCTCTCGGCTCCACAGGCCCGCCACCGCCGCCCGCAACAACCGAGTCGGAACGCTCGGCGACGAAAAGACTCATCTTCACAAAAGCAAAACTCCAGTCGAGCTCGTCCACGTTATTTCAAAGGTGTTAGAATGTGTTTTTTTCGGGCCTATGACACATACGCACAGTCACAATCGCAGGGCTAATCTACAAGTAGATATTTTCTTGGCTGCAAAGGCAGTATCAAATTGGCCAGACAGTATCCATTTGCCATTCGGGGTTGGCTGACGTAAAAAAAGACCCAGATACAGTACGAAAAAGTAGTAAATTTAAAATAAGTCAAAGCCTAAACCTCTCCGAAACTCAAAACAGGCGAACTGGTTTCCGATATTTGGAGCGCCGATGCTAGAAAACCTGTTACAGGATTAGAGTTGTTTTGATCCTGTAAGTAAGCTTTAGAGTCTTGACTTCTATTGTGCGCTTTTGTGTAAGGAGGCACGCGATTGGCTGCCGCGGAGGAAACACCTGCCAACTGAGCACTTGTTCTAGTGACGTCACCGGGACAGCTGAACGGGATCGTCTGTAGGATCATTCCATTTGGAAAGGTCAAGAGGGGTGTCTGCGGATTATTGTTGTCAGTGATGTTTTATTCCATGCTAGTGAGAATTGTTACTTGGACGTAGCAGTTTTGTATTGATGGCACGGTACAAAGTACTAGAGTACTTTCTAAGAAAGAAAAAGGTGAAAGCTGGTTTACGTTACATTTGGACGACACAAATTAAATTTTCTATATAAACTAGGTTGAATCAACCTTACTCCATTCCAAAACGTGCTATATATTTAGGAAGTGGAGGTGCAAAAAGATGACTTCTTACGAGTGCGTTTTTAAACTAAAAAAAAAGTTGGAAACACAACTGTCAGCCATGTTTGTTTACATTCTAGTAGTTTGCAGTGGCACCTCAAAACTATTTCGTCAAATGGAACTGGGCTGTACACCGTTTACATTTTGTGTTCAGTTTTAATTATTTATGTTAATCAGTACCTCTATTCTCATGATTTAAGTATCATAACGTTATATTTTGTATCATCTACTGGTGTCTTATAAAACCACAGGGGCGGGACATTTCATTCATCCATCCATTCATTTAATTCATTCACTCATTCATCCATGTCTGGAAGAGCCCCTACTCTCATCCATAGGTACCTAGGTGTGGTGAGTTCTTTATAACATGCACAAGGTGCATCACAAGAAACATACAAGATCTCCCATTTGTGTAGCCTGGTTACCAAACCTATTATAGCTCCCGAGTCCTACATCCTCTCCGTGGAGAGGATGTAGGACTTGGGAGCTATAATAGGTTTGGAAACCTGGCTACCATTTGTGTAGATTCTAAACTGAAAACGACGAAATGAAAACAGACTTTCTTCATTTCAAAAGCCTTCAATGCATTTATTTCCTGTCTTCTTTCTCCTTTTACATCAACATCATTGAAATGTTTACTATCTGGATACAATGTCATAGTGCCTTCTGGTGCAAAAACATATCATTTCATCATCCAACACTTCCAATATCATAGTACATTATGAGTGATATGAACCAACTTCCTCAAATGTGATTAGAACAGCTATTAGACTCAAACAGCAAGAGAATGTTCAAGAGTAAGCGTCTGTTCTTGTGTTGCGTAGCCTGGGTGCCATCCGATTTGTAACGGCTACCCCGAAGATTTTTTCGGGGTAGCCATTACAAATCGGATGGCACCCAGGCTAGTGTTGCTCACATCACTTTTCTAAACTACTCATTATCATAGAGTATACTCGTGACAGTTTAAAAGTAGTCATCTTGGACAACTTTTAAAAATTGGTCCCTTACACAATAGGTGGATCCTTTTCCGGAAGTTCTGCTGCAGTACAAAGGTCAGCCACATGGGCCCATATTTGACCTTGACCTTAATTGCCTTACATGACCTACAAACATACCAGATATCATCACAATCCATAAGGCGTTCTGAAGTTATGCCAACTACAAATGTGAGGAAACACACACACACAGACCAAAACCAATACCTCCATTTTTGATGGAGGTAACTAAACCAACACTGACATTGACAGATAAAATATTACAATATTTGTACCTTCACATTGGAAATGGTCAAAGTACTATTAGATACTAAATAGATCACCTCAATGCCTCTAAGTGAATTTGGCATTAAACCTGCTTTGTTTAAATCATGACACCCTAAGCTGGTGTTCTTGGATGTACAATATGAATGAAGACCTTAAATTGTACACACATATCTGCTGGGTTAAGTACAGGTCACAAAAAGGATGGAATACAGATAACGTTACATATATACATCAGCAAGTAGCTACAATTACGTAAATTTGGTCTTCTCGTTTCTTACAAATGGTAAAAAGGTATGTTACAATATAGAAGGTTTATCTAAGTTCATTAGAAATATAAATTTATCTGTACAGCTTAGATGTATGACGAAGGGGAACATGGATTGTATCAGATTATAAGTTTTACTCTCTCTTTGTTGTATAGTTTCCATTCTATTACAAAATGTTTCCCATCATGTATAAGAGCTGTGTCATGAATGGAATAACATATACAGCAAAAAACGTCTAAGGTATAAAACATACATGTAGCACTCTATTGAAGTTGAATCAGGTTACTAAATAGTTCATTTTCGAATGCATCTAGGCTTAGCATTATTACCTTCGCCAAGAAGGTTATGTTTTCAGAGGCGTTCGTGTATGTGTGTGTGTGTGTGTGTGTCTGTCTGTCTGTCTGTCAACACGATAACTTGAGAAGGCCTTGATGGATTGTCTTGATACTTGGTAGGTGGGTAGGTCTTGATGAGACCTCAAAATGATTAGATTTTGGACCCCCTAGCGGCTTGTTATGGTACTGCAGCTGAACTTCCGGTTTTGATATCTCATGATCTAGACATGTTATGGTGATGAAATTTGGGTGGTAGGTAGCTCTTGTGTTGGGGAAGAAGTGACGTGAGTTTGGGCCCCCTAGTGGCTTGCTCTGGAACTGCAGGGATATATTCTTGAAAATATTCAAAAGAGGATAACTCAATAACCGGTTGACGGATCGTCGTGATTTTTGGTATGTAGGTAGCTTACGTGATGCTTAATATAATTATGTGACAATTATGCAAATATGGATGTAATTTGCATAATTTATGGGGAAATTCTATAAATCAGCTGCATTCCATAATAAGACAATTGAAGCTTGTGACATTGGTAATTGACAACGAGAGAAACACAGGCAGATATTGATTATGTTAATAATGACTTAATTTGCATAATTAATGAGAAAATTTTATAATTATGTAATGATAACTGCCTGTAATTTCATACTTATGGTATTTGAAAGTTAAGTTGAGGTGAACATCATTAAACATAATTTATTCAAATCAGGACCTCATTTGCATAATTTATTAGGAAATACTAGAATGCCTTGTTTGTTTATATAAGACTGTCTTTTGGTTGAGATTATGATAAAATGATATAATTCATGAAAATTAGGTTCCTATTTCTTAAATCAGGGGGGAATAATCTAATCTATAATTTGTCAGTCATTTGGCGAAGGTATGAGATCGGGGAACTCTAGTTGGAATTGAAGTTGTAGGTTGCTTGGAGTAATTGTCATCATATTTGCATGTTGGACTAATTTCCTAAACTACAGGCCATTTTACATGGGGCAAAAAATAGTTTGTCCTACAACGAACAAACATTAAGTAAGTACAACGAACAAAGTGTGTAAATCTACGCAATTTGAGAATGCACCAGACTAAATGGTGTGTTAAGCTGGTGTATTACGCCAAAGGGTAGTTACACAGGCTATACAGATACAGATGCAGAAATGTTACATGTCCCTCTCATCAAACCCGGTAACTCAAGCATTTGTCCTAGAACATCTGAGTCTGGACGTTGTCTTCATTTGTGAGTTAGGGCAGGGCTTCAGCACTATGGTCACACTAATCTCCCTTGCAGCAACTGAAAAAAAAAGCATTGAAGTCAGTGTTCTTCAGCATTTTCACTGCATTTTTCAAAACATAGAGAATTATCAGAAGTGAAGTCTAACTCACATATATTATAAATCTTGTAACTTTCAGTGTAGTTTTCTTTCCAGTGTGCTTTGCACTGCAAATACATGTACATATATTGACAAAATAAAGTGTATGACATTGTGTTTTACAATGTATCATTACTCTGTAAGAAGTGTCAGTGGGAGATGGGAGGTAGCCTGGGAACCATCTGGATTTTCGCCGAAGCCTTGCGGAGCAAAAATCCGGATGGTACCCAGGCTAGATGGGAGTAGGAGGAAGTTGCCTCTCATGGTCCCGTACAGACGTGAAAGAAGAACAGAAAGAAAGGAGCACAAAAAAGACGTCTGCAGGACAAGACTTGAAGTCAAAAAGACTTACTTTATCATTAGAATGAATGAACTTAATTGCACAACAATCGTACAAGGTACAATGTATGGCAGTACTACAACACTAAACTAGTCTAGAGAAATACATCAAAAACATGTCCAATAACAGGTAGGTAACATAGTGTGTTGATATATAATTATGTATTAATTATTTGATCTCGCATATGTAATGAGCTATGGAGAAATTGACCTATGTAAACAGAAATAGAGGTTGGGCATGATAACAATACATGGAACATATCGAGCTGTGTATCAGGTAGTATGAGGTCCGTCTTAGTAGTTATATTCTGTAATAGCACATCTCTTTCTTTACTATAGGTAGGACAAGTCATAACAAAATGAAATTCATTTTCAACATTTAGATTACATGTGGGACACAGTCTCTGAGTGGCTGGTGTGTTTTGGTGTCTTCCCTTTTCAATTTGAAGACAATGTGCACTTATTCTCAGTTTTGTTATGCTAATTGTAAACGATTTGTTTTGTATTGATGTAAGATAATCTTCCATGCCGAAGTGTTTCTTTATTTTAGAATAAGTTTGGAGTTTGCTAGTATTTCTCAGTTGTTCTCTCCAGCCAGAAAGAAACGTGTCCTCGAGACGCTGTTTAAATGTTTCCAAAATGGTTGGCATTAACTGCGGGGTTAAGCCAAACATTTTGGAACCCATGTCTACATAATATATCCTGAACGTGAGTAGCCCAGTCATGTTCTTCTTCGACTGAAGTGTCGTATGCTTAGAGCATAAACAATCCTTACATTGCTGTTCAGATCTTGAACGGACACTGAAGTTGTCGTTTGAATATTAGTTCTGAATGGCAAACCTTTTACACCTTAGGCCATGTTGATTTGATTACATGATGACATCCTCTGGGAATCCCTAAACTGATGCAAGCGTGCGAATAAACAAAAGTTTTGCAAAACAAAACCAACGTTGCTTTCATTATGAAATCTACATGGTCATGAAGGTTGAAAAAAATGAAACCGAGTATGGTATGGCGAATTAAAATCTACTCTTCAAATTCATTAATTTTCTTTACATTTTTGTCTTTTTCATTTGATTTTGGCACTCTGCAACATTGGTATCAATTTCCAATATTTTTGGTTGAAAACTTTATTTTGTTGGAAACGGTCAAAAATTCATGCGCACGCGGATGTCATCCATGTAATCAAATCTACATACACCTTACCTACACACCTTTTCTTACACTCTACTACAGAATTGTGTTGGGAACTCTGTCCCACAGCTCCAGACAGCTGGCTGTGGTGTCCACTCCCCCAGGAACTCTATCCCTAGAGTACCTGTACATGTATATGGAAAACGGGAAACAGAGGTGCTTATTTACATGAAATCACATCATATTGTTATAATTGTATGTAATTAAACAACAGAATGTAAAATAAAACTACTGATAAACAAGAGATTCATAAATAATTAAATTTTGGTGCCATGTAAGTTAATGCACACTCACGTGCAAAATTGGTAAATACATGTACCTATGGAAGCATGTGTACCAGAACAGGTGTGTATTTATTAGGTGCTTTAGGTAATATTTGATTGATGTGCAAATATATATAGTGCAGTCTTGAATGTGCACACATCTTGTCAGTTGGAATTCTATCAAATACTTATCTCATTACAGTCTGCACAAGAGACCCTGAAGTAGAGTATACATGTATGCCTAACACATGTATATTAGAATAGGAAGTGTCTATTAAAGATCATCCTGTCAAAAGTGCATTTTTCTGTTATTGACAGGATTGTCCTGCCAATAGTGCAGGTTTTCCACTATTGACAGGATGGACCTGTCAATGGTTAACCAATATAACTCACATCAGTGTCTCCAATGTCGGGTGTGCCTCAGCAGCCTGCACCACAGCCTGGAACCCTGCAGGCTCCATGGAGGTGCACAGTAGGTTCAGCCACTCCAGGACAGGGAGTCTGGGTAGAGCCTCGGCCAGATCCTTGGCTGCAGTGTCAGACAGGTGTGCAGGTTTGTGTGGGTAACCAGACATGTCCAGCCTGGTCAGTGCCGGCAGTGTGCTGATGAGCTGTGTGACCCTCCCTAGTCCTGCTCCTGTTACTCCACTATTCCCCCCAATGAGCAACTCCTGTAGTGTGGTGTTATAGTGAGGGGCTGTGGTCAGACTCTTGTCACCAGGTGGGTTTTGTTCCATGTCCAAACTGCTGGGCTGGCAGAGTGTTTGAACCAGTGAGACAATCCCTGAGTCTCCTATGTTATTGTCACTCACATTCAACACCTGTAACTGCACCAGGTGAGGCAGAGCTTTGATCAGGGATGATACTCCCCTGTCACTGATACCTGTCCTATAGAGAACCAACACCTTCATGGCTGTGAGGTAGTGGAGGATAGCAGCCAGGCATTCCAGCCCAGGGTCTCCTATGGCATTTTGACTAATGTCCAGTTTGATCAGTCTGGTTAACTTACACAGTGCAGGGACCAGTGTGCGCATGCCTATGGGGCTGATACCGGTCCTACTGAGGTCCAACACCTGCATGGCAGTGAAGGTGGGGAGGACGGTGGTGAGAGATTCCAGCCCAGTGTCACCAATCTTATTATTACTTATATCCAACTCTCTCAGTCCCACTAGATGGCACATGTAGGGAGCCAGGGATGACATGCCCACAGCAGTCATGTTGACATACCTAATACGGAGTACAGCCAGGTGTGGAACACTGGACAGCCCAACCTGTAGGACTTCCATCCCAGCATCACCAAGGTATAAGTTGAAATCAAGATTCAGCTCCTCTAACAGAGACATGTGTCTGAACCCCTGCACAAGTGGCTGGAGTGAGGCTGGTGTTAGTTTTGTACCTGACAGACCCAGCTCCCTCAGACAGGGAACATTCTTCAGAACTGAAGCCAGCTTGGCTGTCAGATCAGGTGAGTCAAAATGTGCCCCGACTCCGGATCCCCCCCATAGTGTCAAGTCCAATCTAAGTCCAGGGAGTGAAGTTGTAAAACACTGCTGTAGGTACTGTACTTTGTCTCTGTCAGTGCTTCTATGGATCTTAAGTATGAGCCTGTCTGGCAGGTTTGCTGAATGGAGATTTTGTATGTAATACTTGAGACCTGTGGCTCCCCTACTGTTAATGGAGCTGTTCAGCATGACAACTGGCAGGGCTTGACTGATACCCTGAAGCACTTCTGGTTCTTGTCTCTCACAAAGGATGTTCAGGCACAAGTGTGCAAACCTTTCATAGGTATTGCAAGACTTTTGCATGTTTTGATCCACTGGCACAATAGCATAACTTCTGAATTGTTCTGGTTGCAAGTGTGTGAACTCACTGCTGCTGAGCTTGATTAGTTCCTCCATCATAGCTTGTGCTGCCTGTGAGTCACAGCCACATGTGAACTGAAGCAGGTTACTGAGTTCAAGTGCCTTGCTTATGGAAGTGAGCTGCAGCATCTCAACAATGTCTTGGTTCACTTGAGCATGAGCTACATATCGTCCGGCCAGGAACTCTTGCATGGTCTTGTGTGAAAAGTTCAGCTGTTTCCTAGGATGCAATTTCGAGGAAGAAACCTCCAAGGAGACCACACCAAGCTTTAACAGTAACTCCCAATCAACCTTTTCTCTCTCTACTTCTGCAAGGTCAAGCAGGGTCTCATTCCTCAGCAGTGCCTCTAGTGCAAGCTTGCCAAGCTGCAGTAATGACTCAGCAACCTCTGTAGGCAGCCCTTCTGTTGGCATGTCCACTCCTTCCCGCTTACAGCACTTTCTGACCAGACATGTCAGAAGGTTGTCGTACAGCCCCATCATTGTTCCAGTAGACACCATCTCTTGGTCCTCCTCCCACAGCAGACAGACCAACAGCAGAAAAATTGGGGTTTGGATTAGGTTGTTTACAAGTTCGTTATCCTTCAGAGCCAAAGCAGATGTTTTATTTTCTACTTTCTGTGTGTATGAGTGAATGAAATGTTGCCCAATGAAAGCCTCTGCCAGCTTAGGGCTTTCTGTGAGGAAGAAATATTTTCTCACATATTGTGCTGCATGATCAGGGGAGAAGCCCATGATGTGTACGTGACAGTCTGGCCGGGTGTACTGCTGCACTCCTGCTGAGGGTCGGGAGGTGATCACAATCGTGCTGTTGGGGTACATCTTGCCAGACAGCAGTTTGGGAATGGCCTGCCCAGCTGCCCTGGCCTCAGGCCGCAGCTCATCATACCCATCTAGGAGGAAGAGCACACGGGACTCGTTTCTCTCAAGAATCGCTTCAATGTACTCTACATTAACATCTTTTCTTTTGGGCACACACTGGTCCCACACCATCTCCTCTATGGTCTCTCCCTCTCTCACCTCCCGGAGTCGGATCAACAGGACGATGTCGTGCCGTCTGCCCAGCTCTGTTTTCTGTGAGACGGCATCTAGGGCTTCTTTGGACAGAAACGTTGTCTTCCCCCCTCCAGCTTCACCCTCAATCAGAATGCACCTTGGTGCTGCGGACAGTCCTGTGACATCTGGCTTGAACAAGTCATCTAATGACTTAAGTTCTTTTCTCTGTTCTCCCCTCATGGATTCTGACCTTTTATGCTTTTCACTTCTTGGTGTCAACTCTAACTGGGTGAAGATGTCACTGAGGCTAAGTGTGAAGTTGTCATTCCAGATCAGAGGCTTGAAGTGAGTCAGTTTCAACTCATAGTACTTCTTCACAGACTGCTGGAAAAGATCTGGAATAGAAAGAATACTGTAAGACCCCACCCATCTACATGTAGTGTAAATGTAACTTATGCAAGACACTATTAATATGAGAAAAATCCTTGTCAGCCTGAACTCATTGTATTATATTAATTTGTTTCTTTTTATGTTCACCAAGACCAGTTCTACCTACTAGTAGGAGTTATTTTGGCTAAGGCCAAACTGACTTCATTTCATGGATGATGTCCTCGGAAGACCACCTTTACATTTGGGAAAGCAGCGACACCTGTGCTGCAATGCAATGTGAACCAGTCAGAATTGCCCTGAGGAAGGTGACAGACGGTCACCAAAATAAAAGACTTGGTTTACTCAGAGCAAGTCATAGCAACTTTTACGACAAGCTGGCCAAACAGCATGTTACAAAACCTGTTGGCAGTAATTAGATGAGATTTTCTTTTACAGTCAAACTTGCCCATGGCCATGTGACCACCTCTTCAACACGACCACCTGGCCATCGCAACCGCTTTTTCTTGGGCCGAAAAATTTTCCCCATTGAGGCAAGCTTTAAGCAACCTGCCCAGGGCAGCCACCTGGTCAATGCGACCGTGGCCGCCATGAGTTGGGTCAGCCCATGGCCCGAAACTTTTCCATGGTGACCGGTCGACAGGGTCATTTGAATTTAAACATTGCTTAATTTGCCAGAAACTGTGTGAAGTTTAGGCCCAGAGAATCTAAAGATACGACTGTTTTTCTCTGGTCCCCTGGGTGCCCGGCTTGAGAAGGTTTCACTGTACTTGTATTTGCAATATGAATTTTGATACTAGTACCTGTCTGATTGACACTTGGCACTGACTCTGTCCCTGCAGCTCCAACTGAAACTTCTGAATGTGGAGAAATGGGGATTATTATAATACATGTATATGTAACATTTTCTGAACAAGTCTCTATAATCTTTTATTAAACTGTTTCTCTAAACATCAAACTTAGGGATTTGAGAATTACAGACCAGGAGATTTTGGGTTCTGTCACACCATACCACAGTGATTTGAATCTTTAAAGGGGAACAACTGATATTGTATTACACAATGATATGTCTGAAAACTATTGTGTGTGATTTCGTACACTTACACATGTGATGTGTATGTGTCCATTTTGTTTAGAGCATTACTGGCCATTTGAAGAAGTGGCTAGCACTTAGTGTCGATGACGTAACTGCAAAGTTCCAAATACCTAATATTTGCTCTGTCCGAATCTACTTCTTTGTATTTCACCATGTATATTATGCATAGCATGTTACAGACCACAGAATAAACATAGACTTCAAAGATCTCATACCCCCATGAAATATTTAGTGATCTTGAAAAACACTGACTTAAAGTGAAAACACTAATGCAAAATCAGAGTGATGATGTGGTTAATTTGGTTACATTCCTTTCCATATACATGTACACGCAGCAGAATACAAGTAAGATTTCTGATAACAAAGATATAGTTCTATACACTCATATCACCTATCCCTGTGACACACAGACACACACGCATGCATGTACTGTTGGTGACTTGGAATTGACTCTATTTAGGCCGGGTTTGTTTTTACAAGGGACATTGTGTATGCAGAAATTGTCAGCAATGTCATGATCAACATGGGGAACATCAAAATGGACTTGTAATAATCTGGAGTCCATTGCTTTTGGTTCTCTAGTCCCTACATAGCTTTTAACTCATAGCATATAAGTTAGAGGTCAATACACAGAGTACAGAATACAGACACTTCATACCTTGAAGACCGTCCACAACACTCTGTAGGTTTGCATTGCTCAGAGCCTCTCTCAGGACCTCTATGGTGGCTCTCTCTCCGTTACCCTTCAGCCATTCCTCCAACAGGTCCATACAGCGAGACTTGTCATCCCGGTTTCTCCCATCGATGTTGTCCACATCTGGTCCTCGAAATCCAAGAAAGAAGGCCAGGTCCCTCCAATCTGAGCTCACGTTTTCCTTGATGTAGTAGAAGTATTTTTGAACATCTGCAAAACAACATAGAAAAGAAGTGTTACTGATATATGGCATTGATATAACACTCATTCATTCATTCATTCATTCAATTATTCCCAGTTCCAACAATACTGTTACTTAGGCCTTGAAATAATTACCTACTTGCATACTTGCAGGAAAATTACCTGCACAGGTTGTTTTTCTTTAATTTGTCTTGACTCTTGATGGCCTAAACCCTTAATAACTCTAACCCTGGTGCATACCTGCATTAATATTGCTACAACTGTACAGTATTTCATCTGTACCTATTTGTATATAGTAATAGAATGCAGGTGGTATTTGCAGCCCTACTTACTCATAGTTTAAAACATGCCTACATTGTACCACGACATATATAATACCATAGAAAGACAACATATTTAACGGCTCACCTTCCTTTCTCCAGGGCACTGGTTCCTTCTTCCCTGGAAACTCTTCTCCATCCTCCCCCTTCCTCTTCAGCTGGCTACTAGAGGGTCCAGGTGAACCTGTCTCAGAGAGGTGGATTATATCACTATCAGTAATTAAATCAGTAATTATATCAACTCAGCTTCTGCAGTGCCACAGCTGCTATCATTACAATTTAGTTCTCAGGATGAAAAGTTTGGCCGAGGAAAAAAATGTGTTTCCTGTTTCCCGACCGGCCCTAGAAAAAACTGCTGACTCAGCGGGAGTGACTGAGTGTCTTTTTGTTTTTGTGGATCCCAACAAGGAACATAGAAGAAAAATTAAATTAAACAAATTAAAGAAAAACAACCTGTGCAGGTAATTTTCCTGCAAGTATGCAAGTAAGTAATTATTTCAAGCTGATTAACCTTTACTAGCTCCATGATCTGACACCTGAGTGATAAAATGTTGTACCATTAGTTTTCCAACATTGACATTGAAAATACAAGTGTCCTTAAGCAAGTTTTACTTTATTAAAAGTACTAGTACTGCTTTGTGTAAGTTGGATCACTAGTCTTTGATGACACCTGCACTGTTGGTCCAGAACATTTAATGTAACATTCTCACCTGAGCAGCTGGGTGCACCTTGTCCCTCGGCCATGCTGACACAGGTGTCAGGAACAGGTGGGAGAGAACACCTGGAACAGAGAGGTGTGAGGTTACATCTTTAGGTAGTACCAGTTCTACTAAGTTCTGGTAGGTATTGGATCTATTGGCCTTCCTACATTACTAGTATATGAGAGATACAAGAGAGATGAAACTCTCAACCTCTCTGCTCAGAGCCGTCAAACTGCGTCAAAGTATGAGGTTGGCACGTGGACGAAGAAGACGTGATCATGGGAGCAGGTTTTTTTCTAGAAAAATTTAGCATGAGGGAGCAGATCACAAGAATATGGCAAGGAACAAAGCGACCGAGGCGGGATTTTTTAGTAAGAGTAACACAATTTGTAATGCTAGAATGCACTGTTGTATTGTTTTCACATCTTTACTGGAAAAATATCATTTTGAGAAGGACTGAATGGTGTGTAGGTAGCCACTCAGGTTCAATCTGAAAATTTGTGTGTATAATGTCCTTGGTATAAGGGAGCTGGCTGGTTACAAGTCAAGTCAAGTCAAGTCAAGTCAAAGTTTATTGCACAACGATTGTCACGGGTACAATGTATGGCAAATAATAAGATTACTAGTTGGTATGTGTCTAACATAATGCTATATATATGGTCAACGGACATTGTATCTGATAGAGTATTATGAATAACTACTAGCTAGAGAATATTTCGACTCTACATGTACATTCTACATAAATTTACGCTAGACTATACACATGAAGGGTACAGTGGGAGCAGCACCCTTATTCCCCTGTTTAGAAAAACCCCTGGGGAGCTACATTTATGTGGGAACAAGGACTTGCTAGGAAAATTTATCATTTAAGTGAGGCTTAGGTTTAAAGAAAATCACATTGATATGTACTAGTATGTTTTAAAAACTGAATGCTAGCCCATATTTATTTCACCATAAGATTAAGAGTCCAAAGCAAAGTTTTATGTCTCAAACTTTGCGGTGTTATTTTTTTATCTTTGTTTTTCCTAAACAACATTGCCGACAAATCTGGTGGATCTTGAAACACTGAACAGTCGACAGACGGGAGCTGTACTTACTTTCTTCAAGGATGTCACCAGAAAACTTCCTTCAAACTCAACTTTTGGAGCAGACTTCGACGCATTTTTACTTCCGCTTTTTCGCCATTTTGGAACTAGGAACAGTTTATTCGACAATGGGGGTTGGATCTATGTCAAACTCATAAAAGACCATTTAGCAAACTTAACAAAGAGTTAAATAGGTGATTTTAAACTATAATTGAGTACTCAATATTATTTGCAAGCTCTTGAGCTGCGCAACCAGCTATAAATATAATACGCTACGCTTTGACTCCTGCGAGGTTAAGAAAATGGACTGTTCCGTGAAGGTGCCACGCCAATACAAGTTTTTGGCGGCGCCACAGGGGTGGTGCCTATGGGGTAGCCTTAGACTCAAGTTGAAGATATAAGAATGCCCTATAGCAAGGACATCATCCTTGCCTACATAATTCCCTAGGGAAGTAGGCTTGATCACACCTTCTGCTTTTGTTAGTCTGTAGCTGAAACGTCATTTATGTGATTTTTGTGAGCAAAGGGGTCTTTTTGGAGTGATCAAAGCGAATCTCAGACTCGGTTCCTGCTTTTTTTTTTACCAAGGAGTTTCAAATTAAAAGAAATGGCGATTCTGTACATATAACTGTACTGTCTAAGGGTTCATTTATTGATTCACTGACACTCATTCTTAACAACAGTTTGTTTTGGGACTACTCAGAACCTGTCATAATCATTTTGGCGACAACACCAAGTACAATTCCCAGTTTTCATTTTACCGCTGACTACCATGGACCCCAGTCACGGGATAACTGGGCTGTGCATTGTTTAGTTGATGTGTTAAGTTTTGGTGAATTATATGTTAGTCTGTAGCAGAGCGCCCCGCACTAGCGAGGCACGGTAAAAGTATAAAAGGAGGAGTGGTCCAA